CCATGTTGTTGCGAAAGGCAACAAAAGGCAACAGCCGCTGTTAAAGGGTTAAGTACGCGGGTGCAATGATGCATGATGGCTATTAGGTTGCGCGTCGACCGAAATCCTACTGAGCCACCAGTGCCGCCGCTGATCACGGCATTAAAGCCTACTACCTTTCTCTTGCTTAGAAATTGTAACACAGATAGCAAAGAAGTCTTGAGACCAGCCTAAAGGAACTGGAGCAACTAAAGTGAGAAAGTGAAAACTCTTCGCCTTTCGCAAGGCGTCGTTATGACTAGGCGCGCACTATATACCAGTAAGAAGAGAGAGGGAGAGAGCGGAAGAAATGTTCAGAGAACCGCAAGATGAAATGCACAATCGTGGGACAGTCCTGCAAAACTCCGCGAGATGGTGCGAGGTAACACCAGTGGCAGAACTTACAAGTGAATCAAGCCTGAAAAAGGTGTGCCAACCAGGCCGCGTATGAAGTATCCCATAGGCTCAGGCAATCTCAAGCTCGGAGATCCTGAAGCAGCAGCAGCTCTTCTTTGACACGAAACTAAGGTACGACCTAGATCCTTGAATGCAATATGCGTCGAGCGACAGGTCTACTTGGCCAGAAACGACAGGCGCGTCGACGACTCAGCGGAGGGCCTCTGAAGCACTTTTTGTCAAACGACGGGCGGATAACACCGCGCCTCAACGGCAGAGGTCGTTTGTAGAATGTCGTTCCGTTGGGTAGTGCAGTGGCCAACTCAATCGGACAAAAGCAGTTGAAAAGATTTGTCTTCAGGAGCTAGCCTGAAGCAGAAGTCCGCCGAGCTTAAGGAAAGATTACGTCCGCTCAAATGTTCAGCCGATTTTGACTCAAAGACCACTCGCAATAAAGAACTTTCATAACTGGACACGCGCGGTCTCTATAAGTGCGCACTGACCAGACTGATTTCGATCGTTGGAGTTTTGAAGCGTGCTCAAGAACGGGAAGTGGCCGACTTTAGCAAAAATTCGTCTCCGCTAGTTCCAAAGAAGGGCTATGGTCAAACTACCGGGAAGCAACTTTCCTTTCCTTGCTTGCAGAAAAAACAGCTGTCAACCGCTACCAAACGCTCGCAACCTGGATCCGTTGTCGAAAGCCCACAAAAAGCCAGCCGGCTCGACGACACAATCCCGATATTTAAAAGCAGCCCGCCTACGCGGAAAGAATGACGCCAGCACGGGTCGCAATCCAAAACAGTTCGTCGTCAGCAATTGCAACTTTCGCAGTGGCAGCTAATTACGGGCGCCAGGGCGATTGGGTCGTCCATGACATTACACAGAACTTTCCCTTTTTTCCGCTCGCTATAAATCATACGCTCGTGTAACCCGTTTGGCCTCAGCTGGTGCGGTTTTACACTTTCACAGACGTTACCGGAGCTCTTTGTACTTGCAACGCTTTCGAGCCCAAAACTCATCAAGGAGTGGCCAAAAGAGGGCCTTATGTATGCACGGCCAAGGGGTGTCTCTCAGCCAGGCCCCGTTTCCAGGGGGACAACAGCCGTCCCAAATCACACCCCAAAAGCGCAGGGGTGCTTCGTCAACTAAGCTGACGCACGACTGTTTGCCAGCTTATTTGAACCAGCAGACGGTTTGAAATGTAGCTTCGGCGGAATGATTAGGTAACACGGATGGCAACTGTCCACTCTAGGGCTAGAGGTTCAAAGAAAGGCCAAACTGTTGCGCCTCGTGCTTTTCGCAAAGGAAGCTTAGGATATTGCCCTAAGATCCAAGTCGCCTCTCGTCGAGAGAAAATTACCTGGCCTCCAGACGCAAAGCAAGTGGTTTCGGCATCTTCGAGAAGTCTGCGCTAATTGAACCAGGGAGAGTCTGGAAGGCCTCAGCTTGCAATTTCAAAGGACACGCGAGTGCATTATAACTGACGGAAGCGTGGCAGGACGCCGTAGACAAAGCTTCACACGTACATACATGGGTTTAGGATTGCGCTGCTACTCTTTTGTTCCTATCATGATCAAATTCTCAACAACGAATGTTGGGCAGGGTCGTTCGTTGTCAGCGCTAACGAAAATTATGAAGGCTGTCGTACGGTAAACGGAAACCGGAGCTTATAGCTGAGCGTTTCTTATAAGAGTCCGACGACATTTGAAATAAAGTTTGACGATCCTAAACGTTGTTGCTCAATAAACGAAACGGTGGCACTTTATCAACGACTAGTTTTTTCGCAATGCTGACCACCCAAACTTGTAGAGCAGCTGAGATGACGCGTAAGACTTTGAAAAAACTCGGATAGCAGCATGCAGAGTTGTTGATCCGCAGCGGTTATATGCGTGGCCCATTTAGCATTGTGACCAGCGGACAAGAAGCACGTCCTTGACAAAACAATTTTCCTCCGTGACGGATCTGAGTCTTACGGTGTAGAGCTTTACGATGCGGGTGGTCCTGAGTTAACTGATTCACAACGCCATCCCATGCACTAGTTGTTCACGGAAAACGACCGGAAGCCTCGACAGACGCGCCCGGGTCAGAAATTAAGCAGAAAAAACAAACACAAGTGTCGTTGAGCGCCACTTTCTCAGAGGGATCCATCTACACTGTCGTCCGAGAGATAAGGTCGTAACAATCCATTCGTTGATTGCTTGCAAGGGCACTGCTGGGATTAAGGCAAGGCTGTACACGGTCGCTGACAGATTCAAGCATCTATTACCATCGACAGGGTTTGTCTGTTTGGATGAGGTCTGCATGGGCCGAGGTCTCCAACATCCGCCAAAGACGCCGTGGCACAGCACGGACCCAGAATTGTCTCAGTTACTATTATCGGGACCCTCAATAAATGTTGTGCAGACTTCAACAAGGACAGTCGAGTCGGCGGACGTTGTATGCAAAATTCTTTCCGAGCCCATTAACATCCGACGTCACAGGTCTGTCTTTGTATCACTATTGAAAGAAGAACTGTGGCGTACGACCTAGTGAACCTTGGTGCTCCGAGTGCGATCGCCAAAACGGCCGCAATTGCATGTCTTCGTCAGGGCCACTCAATCGGGGGAAGGGGTTACCCCGAAGGTTGACCGAAAAGAACACAACAAGCACCAGGAGAGAAGACGATAGAGAAGCACCAGCCCTTCGAAGCCTCTAAAAGAGGGGAACAGAGACTACGTTTCTTAAGAGGGGAACAGAGACTACGCCTCAACTGAAAACAAAGCGCGCCCAAATGTACCAAATAACCCCTGACGGTCTGATGCGCCGGCTACTTCCAGAAAGACCCAACTCTGAATAGATCACTGGAAACGATACCTGAGCCCCTCGCAAAAGAAGGAACAGTACTGAGCAATCAGAACAATCAGTTGAACGAACTTAAAAGACAAGAATCTGCAAAGACACGCGGCTTCAAGCACACATCCGCTGTCCAAGATAATCATCAAACATAGTGAATAGTGCGGCTTCATTTCTCGCATCCACACGGGTTTGAGCTCGGTGTACGCTCAAGGAATGGGCTTCTCATTGCCACAAGGCCTGTAAGACACCACTTAGAGGTCCTAGAACCAGCTCAAATTTGCCGATGATTGGCCACAGGGATTTTCACAGATTGTGGAACCATGTTTCTGGAGCACCAACCTGCTTTAGCAGCCAGCATGAAAATGGTAACGGCACGCAACAACACGGCTCAAAGCTGCAAAAGGGCCTGAGCAACAGATTGTCATAACGAGCAATTGCGACGAACGAGAGCTGCCCGAGGAGGTGACGGCCACAAGGGGCGTCGACCACGTTCAACAAAGGACTTGCAGATGGAACTCGGCTCAGAGCTGACGTGATGACACAAATGTTTCTCCAGACCTTGAACTATGTGGCGGAGGACATTTGTTACTTCTGAAATTTGAAATAGGAATTTGAGAAAAGGGTGCATTTGCAAACCAGAAGGCGGGTCAACAAACTTCAGGACCTGAGCCAATTCGACGTTCGTTGCGAGTGAGATGGTCCGTCTGTTGATATCAGGGGTCCGGTTTGCAGAGGGCATGGCATCGGAGGGTCAAGCCTCTTGTGTGAGCTCAAGAGAAGTTCAATCAGAATCGTTTCATTGCCACCTCCTATCTTGACAAGAATGCATTCAATCCGTGCCAGAACAACAAGACAAAAGAGCTGCAGAAAAGAGGGAGGTGCGAACCGGCAGCAGATGAGACGACAGAAAATGCCATTTTTTGCGGGGACGCCCCCTCGATATAGCGATGGGGCTCGAGATGTCCCTTTAAGATGCCAGCAGAGACTGCAGCTGTGATGTGATGTGACTTGTGGCAAGCAGAGCTGCCAGAGGAATCTCTCCTGAAAGCATGGGCAGGTCTTGGAATTCAAGACGAGACAGCCTCCACGCGTGAAGGGCATGCAATCAATTGACCATGGTTTGACGATAGAGTGAGTCGCACACACGACAGGACGGCCTCGCTCCGTCTAAAAGTGAACGAACGAAACGTTTCAGAACTGAGAAGGCAGGCGAGGCAGCATACGTGATCCAGGTTGTTTCCGCATGGAAGAAAGAAGACTTTTTAAACGAAGCCGATGTGCGTCGTTTGCAACACAATAAAGTAGCCTGCTCAAGGCGTCAACTGGAGTCGAAACAAGGCTTGCAGCAGCCGAAAGCAAACACTTCGTGTAAGCACCTGTAGCTGGCTGATTAAAACTATCCGCTTGTGACAAAAACGTACTCGTCCTGGCGCCTGATGAGGCGCTCACACAGTAATGCGAAAAGAGTTCTTTGCACTACTCTTCGCGGCGAACGAAAAAGATCCAGATAATCTTTTGACGTGCTTGTGACTCAGTCAGCCTTATGTCAATGGATACAGAAAAGTTCGGAAGCTTTAGAAAGCAAGCGCAGCAGTCTTTGAATATGTCGCACATTTTACAGCAGATGGATATCACATCAAGCAAGCAGGCCAGACCATTTTCATCCTTGCAACGACATTTCGATCGACGTGAATGTTGTTATATGTCGTCAGCCGGCAAGAAAGAATTTCGGATGTAACCGCAGCGTCCCAGGCTGAGTCACACATGTCTACCGCACTTCATCGACATCCGCTTGCTTGGCAGAAATGTGGCAAGGGAGCACTCCTCGAAATTGAGGTGATCTGGTCCGACAAGCAGGATACAGAGTTGGGCTATTGGAAGCTGTATCCACGCAAGCAAGAATCCAGATCTGGATCCATACGAACCACGGTTCCACCTGAAAGACCTCCATTTGTGCGTATGACAAGAATTTCGTTAAGCGGAGGTGACCAACGTTCTGGCCATGCCCTCACCAAAATGCCAAGCGTACTCGCGTCCGGTGCAATACCCATGCTGTCCAAGAGACTACCCCTATGTACAACGTCAGAATGATGAAAGCATGGGCACGGGGCGTGTGCAGAGTGTCAATGCTCATGTTGACCAGGCCCGTGAGAAGATTGCCCTGGAAAAAGTGGGCGAAAAGTGTCAATTACGAATCACGCAGGCGTGGCGGACGTGTTAAAGGCGACGGAAAGGCAGCAGAGTCCACGAAATGGTCGCCGAACCAAAGACGCAAAAACCGGGCCAACCAATTGAGAAGAAATGAGAGGTTCGACTTCTGAGTGACTGTCAAGACCTGCAACAGGCGGCTGAGGGCTCCAACAAAAGCCATGGCGGTCTAGGTGGATAGGCGAAGCACCCGTCGAACGAGGAAATTTGGGGACGCTGACGTCAGAAAGCGGGGGCTAAAAGAAGCACAATGCAACACGGGAGCGGCAGGAGCCCCAAAAGGCCGCGAAGAAAATCGCGGACTATAGAAGAAGCCGCCAAACGACCCTTTCTATTTGAAGAAGACCGGGACCGACGCACAAACCGGTGATTGCGGGCGGAACAGACGGGAAACGGAGTCTAAAGAGCCAAGCGAAAGATGAAGAGAGGGGGAATCTTACCAGCAAAAAGATCGGGAGCAGGTTATAGTCGATGGCGTCCAGGAGGGAGTACGACCGGGGCGGGAGGAGCAGGTCGAAGGTCACAAACATGGAGATTGCCTGCACGGGCACGAGAGCTTTTCTGTACACGGTTTGATGGTCTTTAGAACGTACAGGTCACGGTGCATGTGCCGAAGTGGAGGAAAAACCAGCGTAAGGGTCGGCGGATCAGTGGGCAGGTACCGATGCAGAGGCAGTATGCGATGTTGCTGCTTGGACCCAAACTTTGGTACAGCATAAGGTTCTGGTCTTGGATAAATCAGAGGTGGTGTATTCAGGATAATGGGCAAGTCAAGTTACGGACACTCGACTTCGACAACAAGAACGGGGCTTTTTCAGCGAGACGGTCGTCCGACAATAATTCTAGCCGCCGAATCTTCAAAGTCAGCTTGAGCAACTCATGGCGCTTCCAAACTCAGAAATTGTACTTCTGGGCAGCACAACAGACTTGGAATGCAAGGATCATAGTTCCAGCAAGGACCGCCATGAGCGATTTTAAGCCCACAGCAGATTTGTATACGAGCGCAATGACAGATGGGATACACACTGTACCTGGAGGTTGAAGGCCAGCATCCACAGCACGTACGCCAGATTGCACTGCAGAAGGGCAGCTGGAAGCAGTCAGAACGTAGTATGATGTATTTGCGACGCTCGTGACTTCCCGGTCTCCAATTTCCGTTTAAGGCTTTGCATCCTCGGACGCATCGAGAACGGCTTTCTCGATGCTTGCTTAGTCCACCCATGAGCCCAGACTGTCCTTCAAAGCAGAGTTCGCCAGATTCTGGCGAGAATGCGACGAGCCAACGATGGGGTAGCACGACTGGTTGGCCTTCAAAGCATTCATTTTCCGCTCTAGAGAGAGGACTGGATTGTTCAAACGAGAGAATCGTTGGAAAGCTGAAGTGACCGGCAGATAAGACTCAACAGTTGCTGAACTTGCGCCAACCAGAAAGGGACGGAGTGGAGTGAAAGAAAAAGTGTTTCTTACCGATCGTCGAGAAACCCGCTCGATGTAGGCATCCGCCAGATTGGTACACACCCTGAAGAAAGGAACGAGCCTCAATGAAATCCACGGTGACTCGCAAGGAGTAAGCATCCTCAATCGTGCAATTGTGCTACTGTTTCAATCCTAGAGAAAACAAGTGGCTTGAAATCAAGCGAGCGTAGTCTCTCAATCTGTGCTGCAGCTCAAAGTAGAGGCTCTTCGTCGCCAGAAGCTACGAAAACTGAGGGCCCGACCTGGCCCGATGGGCGACCGTCCAACCAAAAGAGATGCCCCACAGAGGATGGCCAGCCTAAGGTGTGGGGATCATCCTAGGAGACGCGGACTGCTCAAACTCGAGACTCTACATCCTGACACGCTCTTGAGACGTCGTGGCTGGCTTCCGCAAACTCAAACGAGCCTTACAAGAAATGATGATCTTTACGTCATATACGAGCCCAGATGATCTTCACGTCATCTACGAGAGCCCAGATTGGGTAAGCTAGAGTCGTCCCTTCCAGCGATTCTGTTACTCACCACAGCGCCAGCTGCAGCCCCCAGACCTTTCCGGCGAATCGCCACCAGTGCCGCCCCGCTTGCAGGTCGCTCTCCCGAGATTCCCCCGTCTTCCCCGGGGCGAGTTCTTGTGCGGCATGTGCTGCTGACGTGGCAAAGAATCGGCCGAGCTGGACGCTCAGAAGGTACAGCGCCCAGTAACCTAAAAAGGAGAAAAAGCAAGAGAATGATAGCAGACAGTAAAAGAATCTGACATAGTTGTCTGGAAGCCTCTAACCAGGAGTTGATAGCGAGTACCGCTGTTGCTGCGTTGATAGAGATGCAAAGAGCACAGCCAAAGCGCTCTTGAGAAGACCAGACGTCATCATGTAATACATGCAACTTTTGCGGACGGAGAAACCATTCAAATTCAGAAACAAGCCGGGTGCTGCAGAAGCGTACAAAAGATCGACCCACAGAAGAGTTTGCAAGAGTGCTGTGACGCTTACGTCACTCACCGAAGGCGCTGGCCACCCCCTCCTTGTTCTGGCTCAGCAAAGAGGCCCCCCTGTGGTTGGACATGAGCACCTCGCTCAGGTTGCTCTTGGAAAGCACCGCCTGATACCCTGCGAAAAGATGCTCCGTCAGCAACGAGAGCTCTGCTCCTTTTAGCGGGCCTCTTCTGCGAGTTCCCTTCTCGAAGTAAAGAGCGTTGACGGACCTGTGCGTGGCCGAACACAGCAAAAGTGACCCGATTTTGTAATTTGTGACTTTGTTTTCTTGCATCAAGGCGGCAAATGGTTGCTCGGGAGCCATTAGCTTCCCTGCTTGGTCAAAGATGCTGGCGGGGAACGTTAGCGTTTGCCAGTAATTGGAACAGCAATGCCTTTGTCGACTCCCGAGCCTTGCTCTTACTGTAGGCCCCTAATGCTTCCAATCTCTACAGAAAAAAACGAAAAATAAGAGCCTGGAGCGATGCCCCGTAGGACTTCCAGACACAGTGAACCTATGGAGTGAAAACTTCACTGATGATCCCTAGCATTTTGTGAAGTTTTCAGAATCAGACTCTTCTATCTCGTGACGAGCTTCAAAACCACTTGCTGTTGCCCATGATCTTACATTCATTAACCTTATCCGATGTGCAGCCAGTAATTCGACGCACTCAACTTCTTTGAAAGGCAGATAATTAACTAACCCATTTCCTAACCCAATCCCACACCCACCCAGCAAAGACCCACCTGCCAGCACCACCGCTCCGACCAGGCCCGCCCGTCCGGGGCCTATCGGCGCCGCTGACGTCAGCAGCTCCACGGCCGCGAGCGTGAAGAAGAAGTTCCAGTGCGTGCCGTACTCGCCCACGTGCTCCTGGTACCCCGCCGCCTTGGTGGCGGCCAGTCGCGCAAAGCCGAGCAGCAGTAAGGGGGACGTCCGGCGCAGACCACCCCTGGGGGGCCTGTGGAAAAAGTGCAGGGTTTGGTTAACTTTCTTCTGACCAGAAACTTGCTTGACTTGATTGACGGGGGAACGGGCACGGCAGCCAGGCTGGCGAAGCCGAGCAGCAGCTACGGGGACGTCCGGCGTAGACCACCCCAGGAGGACCTGTGCGGAAAATTAAAGGGTTCAGTTGATTTGATTTGATGACGAAACTCGCTTACTATGATTCAGGGAATGCGTGTGGCAGCAACCGCACAAAGCCGAGCAGTAGCCGGGGGAAGTCTTTTGTAGGCGACTCCCTTGGGGCCTGCGAGACAAATTGCACGGTTTGCTCGACTTATGTCTGACCACCAATCTCCTTGACTTGATTGAACTTGGAGTGCGCATGGCAGCCGGCGGCGCAAAGCTGAGCACAAGCAGGGGGGCGTCTTCTGTAGGCGACTCCTAGGGGGCCTGTAGGACATATCACAGGGTTTGACTGACCTGACTCTGACTAAGGAACTTGCTTAAGTTGATCGAGGGCACACGCATGACAGCCAGGCGCGTAAAGCTGAGCAGCAGCAGGGGGGTTGTCTTCTGTAGGCCACCCCTGGAGATTCTGCGAGACACATTGCAATTTGGTATGCTTATTTTGACCAGCCTGCATCCTGGTGCAGACCACTTTCGAGGGACCCAGTATTTGGTTCGCATGGTTCTGACGTCAAACGAGCTGCGGGTTGAAAAACGAGCACGCTGAAAGTAAGAGGTCCGATTGACCTGGACTCGAGAGAGCGACAGGGGAGACGCCTAGTGCAGGCAGGGTTGTGGGGGCCTGTGTAAGAGTAGTGCAGAGCCAAAGAAGTCAAGGTTAAGCTCTGAACGGTTCCGCCCAGAGGAGGCTTTGCGCACGCCATCTTCGGGGTTCTGCTGGGTTTTCTTACGAGAGTAGGTAATAGCTGAACTTAAAGGCATTTGATATGATTGAGCGGAAGCAAGTTGCCAGAGGCAAGGTACTATCGCATGTGCAACGAGAACAAGGACGAGGACACGCTCTTGACGAAGAAACAAAGGACAAAAGCTGAAAAGTACTATCGATCTTGTATGAACCGGCAAGCCATCACTTGCTCAGCTTTGGAGGGCGCTGCGCGGCTAGGGAGGGTGTTGGCTGCCGAACGGTTTTAAGGCTTAGAAAACTCCTCGACCGTAAGTAGCGGGCTGCTGGCATCGAAGGAACGCTTCCAGACGCACAACTCTCAGGATAGGGAAAGCGATAACGACCTGCCCTCATCAGGGACGTCATCTGGAAAAGGAAAGGCAGAAATACGAAACCTTTTGATTAGATAGGCAGCAGGCTCACGTGGGCACACCGCGCGCCTCTCGCGATACAACGCCGTTGGCCACCACAAACGAACCCACGCCGACGTCCATCTGCAGCAGATGGAGACGTCAGCAATCAGCTCGCTTAGCAGATACCGGTTTCGACGATTGCAGGGAGACTCAAGCGTGTAGAGTGTTTCTGAGAGTACGTGAAGGCTGACATCAACACACGAAGCAGAAAATCATACCAATATGACATCTTGAGATAGCACTACCGCAACACATGAAAGACTCCCGCCTCGGAGCTGAGTGGTCGTACATAAGCTCAGAATCTTAAGGGACTGCCAGATTTAAGAAGGTGAATCCGGGGACATATGTTCATAAAGCCTTCAATGTCATCAGGTTGACAAAGGCACTACCTGTGTCATCAGAGCCTGGTGGAAACCGTTATGCGCGGGGTGGAGCATACTACGCAGACCAACAGTGCGACTCATCTTTGACACAGTCTTCGAATGATCTGGCTGTGAATTCCATTATTATGCGGGTTCTGGACTAACAGCCTTTGTATTGTGATACCATAAAGTCCTGATTGCCTGATTATTATCGACAACGGGCTTCGGTAAAAACCAAGAGCTACATGCCGCAGCTACAATGAGTGCAGGCTGCCATCGTACGGATTGGGCTAGAACATCGAACCGGCAATACTTCGCATGAGACAAACTCAATCGGATCCCCAGACTGCTATCGTCAATCAGAAGAAACGAGGACCTGAATACTACAAAGATCGAGAACTCCAAATGGCGGCTGCAGCTTTTCACAGAAACCAACGGCTTTCAGTAGCTTGACGGATGACCGCTCAAACAGAGCAGCTTTTGGCTCCCTCCAAATTGGCAGTCTTGTGATGACGTTTGTCCGGAAGCAAGCAATCTTTTGCAAGAATTCGAAAACAACAAGCCTTTCTCTAACTGGTAAAGCACAGTACAACGACGCTGCGCACCCACACCAGATCGCCCAGCTGAACGAGTCCAAGCCGAGGCATCCGAGCTCGCTAACCTTCCCTGACAACATCTAGTACTGTAAACACTGGGGCACATGAAGCTTGGCAAGGGCTCTCGAGAAGTCGCAAGTGATCAGCACCACTGTGCGGAGATGTTGAGAGCGAAGAGCAGTTCGTATCATGGCGAAGCTGAACTGATTTTTTCGCTTCGTCTCACTCTATTGGACGCGATCATATCGCAAGCTGTCAGCTTCGGCGTCACGAAAGGAAGCTTCCAAATTGCATTCGAGCAGCAAACCAACTGACCCTCAAGTGGTCCACGTTCCAGTTCGCAATAACGACGTTTGACCAGACTATGTCGAGGGGAAAGTATAGTGCAACCGCGGCATCCGCTGCAGAGCTTGGGCTGTGACCAATTTCAAATCAGCCACACGGGCATCGTCATTACCGCAACGTACTCCGGGCAGAATACGCGATTGCTGAGGACTAGCCAATGGTCAGTCACCCACACCATCTCTCCACAAGATGCAAGGTAGATTCGTTCATGCATTCAAGATCGTCTTAAGTAACATCCAGAAGACTGTAAGTGGCCATGCTTTGGCCAAGCAGATCATATCAGTGCTGAAAATGAACACCTGACGGAGGTCAGCTGAGCATTGACGAGTTACAGGATGCGAGCAAGCGGGACGATGTTTTCACGATTCCGTCAACCAGATCACGAGCCGACACTTCGGACCGAACTGGACGCAAGTAGGCTCATTCATAGACTGCTCTCAGCCACTCTTGGTGAAGGCCAAAACGAACAAACTGACAGGAAAGATTTATCCAGCATCAGAAAGGACGCTCCCGGAGAAGCCACATTCAGCGCTTGCCTCGTCGGCGGAATGTATGCAAGCTGTGTATCAAAGACAGGTGCCAGAAGAGCTTGCCTGATACCTGACGAAAGGAGTGGATCGAGCAAACGCCAGCAGACAAAAGGTCTTCCTTAGACTTCGTGAAGCTGAAATTACTCAAAGCTTCGAGAAGCCCCAGCTTGACTTCGTTTTCAATGTAACGATCGGACCACGTGCTCTGATATAGAAAGAGTCCGGACCGGTCGAGCACTTACACAGCATCTAGCAACGACGGACTGCACGTCAGAAGCATGCCAAAGCTTTCGGCATTTGGAATCTTGTCTTTGAGGCTTAAGAATGGGAGGCATGTCATCCGCAGCTTAGACTCCTCGACCTGGCCAGGAACCGCATAGGCCAGGGAGTAGCCGTCCTCGACATCCCTTCAACCAACCAAAAGCAAAGGCGTCCAACAGAGCAACTGCGCCTGGTTCAATTGGCGTTATACCATCCAATACTGACTCAACTGGAATTGGAAAGAACAGTACTTCTGAGCGAACTTGCGCTACACAGAAAGATCGTCGAGAGAGGGATTGCTGTCCTCAAATAGTCCAGCCTCCAGGGAGAGGAAAGTACGGATAGACATTTGACCAGGTCATGTAGGTATGCCTAGACACCCAAAGGAATTGGTCTCTTCTTGACACGTGATCGAGACATGCCGAGTAGAAATAGCGAAGCAGACTTCTTCACGACCATCTGTATTGGCACTCTTTACAAGGTTTGACCGACTCCACTCTCAAGATCAGAGACTGAGAGGAAGCAAGATACGACTCCAATGCTTGCAAGGTACAAGAAAGAAGAGACTGCAAAATTGGAACTTACAACAATAGGAGGACGAGGTGGGTTCAAGCTGGGGAGAAGAAAGCAAGCCCCTCATAGCTACGAACTCCGGCCAATGTCAGCGTAAGGGTGGCCGTAGAAACCAACTAGAAGAGAATAAGAGGGCGAGATTCGCTTCAGAATTGTTTGGTTTTTTAACGTACGGAACAGAACCGTTCTAGGACTCCTCTTGAGCGTGCAGAAAATTTACTTACCAGGCCGGTCCCGAAAGTCTCCGCCTTGCCAAACCGCCTTGGAAAGATATCGAAGTCGACCGCCAGGATTGCGATAACAGTGAGAAGCATCTGCACCGAGAGCCACGGGTAAATACCCTGGTAATCTCGGTGGAAACTGCTGACGGAGGTGTGTTGGGAACTGGGGTATAACGGATCCCTGACACTCCGCTTCATTGAGGTAAACTCAAGCGACAAACACTAGAGAAGGAATGCACAGGAAGCGACCGTGTTGGCAACAATACCTGACCGCACAGAAATATCATGACCAACACTGTACTTGATCCCTGTAAAACCACCGGCAATGGCATTCAATCCCATTTGAACCAAAACTCGAGGACATCTCTCAGAATGAATGACTCAAACGCGCGAGACCATCATGAGACGTTGGAATGACACAGACCTTTCCACCAGACAGATTCATAACGGTTCAGACATGGTAGCCATGGAACCCGATGCTAACAGTCAGCGCTTCGACTTGGTTCTTTCAGGATGAACAGTGGTCAAAACCCAGACGGCCTGGAAGTGCTCAGAGTCTCTGGCCTGTTCAAATCTATTACCTCCCGCGGCGCAAATTCGTGTTCTGACTGGACATCGGATTTCAAATATTTGGAGAACTGACCATGCTTGCTCGGTACTTCGAAAGGAACGGCTTCTTGGGGGAGGCGATACCCGCTAGGACATGTCTTGAGGGGCAGGGAAAGCATAAGATGTCAGACGCCCACTGCCTGCAAGAGGAATATTGAATCAGCATACTTAACCGGTTTGGCCCTGGTCTAGGATGCGTGGAAAGGACACGAACGCTCGAATGATGGTCACCTCCATAGAGAGGCAAAAAACAAACAAACGGAAAGTCGATATAGGGTTTCAATTCTGCCTCGAGCTCGTAAGGACTCGGACTAAACGTATCCAGCCAATGCAAAACTCTCGTGCCAAAGAGGATATAAGTCCCCCGCACACGGCCTCAAAGCGGCCAGAAGTGCGCTAGTCTGATCTTTAGAAGCCATATTGAGTTTGCGTCCTCAACCTTTTAGGACCCGAATCCTGAAGCTAAGGACCGAAGCAATTGATTGTTTGCATATGTGAGACTTGTTCCCCTGCAAGAAAAATGGCACTTGCAGACTATGATCCACCGACAGGGCGTGTTGCAGATTGGCGCGCATCTGGCACGCATTCAAAGAATTCTCTGCACCGGCTCTGCAAGCTGAACACAGCACAATAACACTGTTCAAGCGAGGGGATAGCAGAACTTACCTCTTGGCTATGAGGACCAGAAAGGCGGATGCCACGGAGAAGAAGAGAATGGAGGGCCAGACGGCTTCTGGATGCTGCAACCAAGAAAAAGACAGTATTCAGGAAGGCAGGCTGTTGGAAGACGTGTCTTGAGGGCAGGCACAATTTCAAAAGCCAAGCCTGGCTGACCTGAATCACGTACATCTGAACCTTTCGGGTGGAGTAAGACATCTGGCCATCTGCCTCACTGCATATTAAGATGACATCACCGCTTCAATAAGAGCAGATCCCGTAATGCCCGACTGTTGCTTCCTGACATTAACAACTAATTCAACCGACCTCCAGATTGCGGCCGCAGTCCAATGTAGGCACGTCAGAAGCCTAACGTAACGCACAAGCCTGTATATCTACACTGATCATTCGACACAGCTCGAAGCAGGCGATGTGAAGCACCGTCAAAGCTTACGAAGGCTGGTATATTTTAGCAGTGCTTGAGTGTATCTGGTACTGGAAAGCAGCAACTGGCAGAGGACTTAGAGATGCTGGCAGTCAGAGCAAGAAGTGACTTGACTTACAGTCATGCAGTAGAGAGTGGGCATCACGATAACAAGAAAATCCAGGAGCGTGGACTGAGATGAGGCTGCAGCCTTCGTCGAATCGCGGTGTTTGCCCGTACGGCTTCTCTTTGTTCCTTGAGCTGCAAGGTAGATGCTCTTAGTGAGCTTCGTTTCCATGATACATATCCTTATTCAAGCCTTTAGTAACCACACAGTATCTTCGAACAAGAACGTCTGAGCTTGGTGTACGAGCAGCAGCTAACTCTTCCTTCATGTATAGAGTAGCACTAAGTTAACATGAGACGGCCATGAAGGGCAATGGGTCTGAAAAGAAAGGATCCTTTGTTTGCACTGCTTTGAATCAACAGGAGAAGCCAGGTGAAGCTTACTCTGGTCCAGGAAAGCGGCAAGCACCAGTCGGAAGAAGACAGCCACCTGCAACAGGTCTGCTTAGAGGGTACTCTATTGTAGGGGGGAACAAACTTGCTTAAACAGCCTTTCACTAGGCAAAGAAAGCGACAAAGCCTTGACAAAGCAAAGCTTTGAGAAAGATATGTACTCTCAAAATGGGTGGATGCATTATTTCCTTGACCTTTCCACAAAACAGAACCATCAACTCCCGCAGATGCTTTCATAATTGTCTGGCCTGGTTGTTTGCTCCACAGGGGGAGTGATCACAAGCACGATTCTCCAACTTGGCTGACAGAGACTTCTTCCTGAACATTTGAAGTCACGCAAGAAGTCAATAAGTCCACTTACCGGTGTCAGCCCCATCACGCTTGAGATCTCGAGCATGGTGGTGCCTTCGAGATTGCTCACAAACCTGCAACAAAGAGAGACACCCTGAACCAAACAAGCTTCGAACAGCCCACTCCGAACACAAGTTCTACATGCAACACCGATTCTTGGGTTATTCTGCAAACGTACAAGAGCACCACCCCTCTGCACTTAGGAAGCTTGTTCAATCAGTTCAATGTGTTCAAACAAGACAACACAAACAGCGGCTCATTTGGTCCTTGGAAGGCCCATCAACAAGGCACGAAACAAGACAACAAGCTTGGGAGCTTGATCTTCTTAACTCGTGAAGCCCATGCGCACTCAGCTTGACTGGCATAATCAAGTCGAGTTTTGCGAATCCTGTGTCTGGAAGAGCACTTTGACTTGTGGCATCTCAGTGTAACTTCAAGTCCCCGGCGCGGCACAGAGGGGCCTGCATAAACCTCAAATGTACATTCTATGGAGCGGCATTCTTAGATTCCAATTCTTCACTAGAGAAGTAAATGAATAAGACGAACACAGTATCTGGAGTAGGCAGCTTACTCTTCTTTCAAACGCTTGAGCTCGGTTGCATCCATGGCTCATGCCTCTTTCCTATCTTCTGCACCACCCTTTAGCAAACCGTGCGCCCTGAGTCCCCGCAGCTCCTGACCATGCACGCCAATCACCAGAGAAGCAGGTATGTGCCCATGACAAGGCAGCTGGCAGCCATCCAAGGGCTCAGCCGCTCGCCAATCCGTGCAGCCTTCCAAAAGAAACCCCTGAATCCCGTCTTCTCCTCCAACAGCTTGGGAAAGTTAAGCTTCAGGTAGGTACAGGTGCAGATGAAGAGCAGGACCACGGTCAGGAAGGACTGGAAATCAAAGAGGGCAGACATGGCTGCTTGTGCGCCAATGCAATGGCTCTTCGTCAGAGTGAGTCCTCAGAGGAGAGGAAGTCATGTCGGCGGGCAAGAGCATACGGAGCAAAAACCAGACTTCTGGAACTCCATATGTGGCTCGTTTATCGGAGGACAAAGCCTTTCAATGACACTCTGAATCGGCTTCTTGGTATCCGATAAGACCTGTGTAGGTAGTGTTAAACTTCCTCATAAATTCTATTGGCGACACATCATAGGCCCTTGGCAAAGGGCTTTCTTTCGTGTATGCCAACTGTGTGTCCACTGTCAATGTCAGTCTTTAACAAAATGTTGCCCTCATCAAGGCTCATGTCTTCGATTCAACTTCAAGAAGTCAAGCCTTCTGGAGTCTCGCTCTAATCACTGCAAGAAGGCTTCTGCACTTTACGTAAAAGCAGCAAGAGATGGGGGCTTCATCTTCAATGCTGCGGGCTGGCTGCTGGTCCAAAGACCTTTGAGTCCTGACAAGAGTTCACTTCCATGTCCCATTTCTGCGTGCGAAAATGAATGCTGTGCTGGCGCCGATGGCGGTGGTAGTGCTTCTCCTCCTGCTGCAGGTAGTGTGTTGTGTTGGCCAGCTGGGCCCCACACCACTCTTTCCTCCTGAATGGCCGGCAAACTTTCAGGTGGAGTTTCATGAGGTGAGAATCCGGCTGGGAGTCTTCCTGACTGGATAAGGACATTGACTCCAGTTCAGTTTTCTAAGTACTGTTGATACCAGCCCCCTGGATTGTGCTTTGGGACGATTTGAGTGACTGACTGCATTTCGGCCTGACAACTGTGCACCTTCGTTTCATAACCTCTTTCTAGATTGCCTGGTGGCATACTTCATTTGCGGTCAGCCCTTGTGCCGTGGATGTGAGTTGGTGCAATTTCCATCAGCAGCCAGATTGATGTAGATTTCTATAAAAGGATTTCCAGCTGTTGTTTGATATCTGGCTGCTTGGTTACTATTCCTACTATTCTCATCTTTTGCCCAAATTGGCCCTTTCTCCTGTTTAACATAGAATCTTGTTTTTGCAATTCAATGACAACGTTTGACAACTTACATAAGGTGCCCCTTCTAAGCCTTACATAATCTTGGCCCTCTGCTGAACTTTTTACAGTATCATGAGATGGTCCCAACCACGTGGATTCCATGATCGGTGAGTCGCAACTTACGGACAAGTTTATAAGGCGCCTTGAAAGAGGCATGTGCCCTACCATAGAAGAACACCATTTTGCCTGATGTGCACATGACAATATGGTTCGGTGAGATCTGTTCGTCGTGGTGCTCGGTGTGCAGGCAGCTTGGTACTTCTTCTCAATCACCACAACGGGCAAGATGTACTATGACGCTGCGCACAACCGCTCTAGGACTGACAGGGTTGATGGGAAGGGGAATAGGTATTGTGGGTAAGCTTCCATGTCTTTCTCTTCTTCCGTCAAAACCCTGTTCACTGCTAAAATGTTTTCCGGGGTATGGCTGAGCATTGCCTGAAGAAGAAGTATGAGTTCTCGGTGGAATTGTACATCTATGTCTCAGCCTTTTCATTCCGGAGTGAGCCAGTTCGCCAATCAAGGTTGAGGCCAGTTCGGTTTTGATGGTCGAAGTACATGAGGGGAAGGCCTAATACTTTTAATGTTGCCTGCCCTGGTGCGAATGATCTGTGTGTAACAGTGTTATCATGCTCATCCTCTTCGTGCTTTTGTAGATACCTCCATGAACTTGATGATGCCTCTGCGTGCTTCTGAAGGTGATTTTCTTTGCAGCACGATCTACCCACTGCGGAATACGGCCTGTACACAACTGGTTGTCGATGGAATGAGGTACATTTTTTTCCCGGAGCATAAGGTGGGTTCATGACACTCCGTCGAACAGCAAAAAACCTCCTCTCTAACAGGTCAACAGATAATGTCTGCATGACGTCCACACCCACACGCCTGTTGAACCTAATTCTCATTCATATCTTGTTATGATGCCTTTTGCATGTTCAAAGCTACGCCTTTTTAATCTCTTAGTTCGAGTGTTTCACTTGACCTTCACACTGGCGTTCCGGGATCTTGCTGTCGAGTGTACATCCTCTAAGGTTCTGCACCTTCAGGTCTGTACATCTACAGGGGAGGGCCCCCAATCATCGCATCCATGGTTCCTTGCCAATGTGGGCTTTGCACTGATGTTATGCTGTCTGGGCTTTCCCCTTCACCAGCGTGTTATGCTCATTCTGACTGTCCCCTTCTTTTCCTGATTTCGAATCCCTTTTGCCCCTGTTTCGAAATAAAAGTTCTTCGGGGAAGTCCCTTGCGAGCAGACTGTCAGCTCACGAGGCGCCTCTCTTCGCGCAGTACTGCTGCTCCTGCTGTTCAGCGGAGGCGGGGTGCGGCATCCTCCGCCGGGATTGGCTGCATGGTGCGCAATATCTGGGACAGGAGGAGGTCGAAGGCCAAATGTGCAATAAATGGTGAGGGTGTCTTTGAACCACCCAACCTCGGATCTCGAAAGCTGTGCAAACACTCAAGAGTCCGGAACTCTGAACTCGAAAGCGTCCTGAAAATAGTTCAAGGAGCCTTCCTTTCCGTGGGCTGGGACGACGTGGAGAGAGAGGTCTCCATTTGGAGTATCAAAAGCCTATGAAGGGATTGCTTTGAGGGGAAGTAGGCTTCTTTCTCTGATAACGCGCGCAATAAGCTGGTCCCAAATGACGAGTTGGCAGCCGTTCCATTATGATAGCACCGGTTTGGTGCTGATTGCATGGTGCCTTGCATTACTTTGCGTTATTGACGAGCCTCGAACTCGGAGGAGGCTGAAGGCTTTGAAAGGCTAAACTAGAAATGGTTTTGCTGCGTCTGTAGCAAAGAAACCTCTTGATTAAAATGGGGCACTTGCGGTCAAGGCGTTGTTTTTCAAGAAGTCCCTCCTCTCTGGAGATACAATCTAGAACCGGTCGGACGAACAAAAGCTTCCAGGGTCCGGCTCCGATGAGTATCCTTCTCAGAGTTTCGCTTCTTCTGTTGAAGTTTAGAATGGCGACCTTAAAGGGCGTAGGGGTTTGACGGAGCGGCATCCCGGCGTCGCTCTTTTGACCAATCAAAAGCGAGGACGGCACTCGCCGTCTCGTATCGCGGAGATCCGAGCCGTCCGATCGCCATTGCAAGCGCGCTTGCAACGCCCACTTCAATAGATATAAGAGGTGCGTGCTTTCGTACTTGCTCGACTACCCGGCCTTCAGAGAGCCTTCTTGCTTGTGCAGGAAGCAGGCCGGCCTTCAAAACAACTATTTTTGGGAGACGCTAGACGGCGTCCCGCTCCAGATTTACATGGTGAGCAAAGACAGATCGCAAGTTCTGCATAACCGAAGGATAGCCATCCGAAGACAACGGGTACGGATCTTGCACCTTTGATTGGGCACCGTGCAACAATGTTTCGGAGGAGGCTCCAGGCCGCCTTATGCTGTTGTGACCCGTCCGTGCGAAGTATATTTCCTGGCCCGAAAGGAGGCTTTGAATGGCCATATTAGAGTGGTGGGAAACCTGTAGTGTTGAGCGGTTGAGCGGTCGAGGCCTGAGTGGAGTGCCGTCGTCAACAGCAACCCGCTCAGGGAACGGCCTTTAAGTAATTGACCGCGAACTTTCTGATTTGCTTCAAGTTGTTTCGCCAGGACAGGATAGATATGAGGACCATGTTCGTCTTCAATTGAGGCGCAGTCTTTGCCTTGACGCATTTTTCCGACAACTTCCACTTTCTCGAAAAGGGAACGAATGTCTGCAGATGTCTAACGACGATCTTACTCTGTGCAGGAGCCGAATGAAAAGATCACCTTCCGGACGGAAACGTACGCAGAAGAGGAGATCAACGCGTCCCTGTTTGAGTTGCCGCCCTGGGGGTAAGGTCTGATCACAGCGTCTTTTGTCAGGTTCTCGAAGCTACATTATTCGAATATCAGGTTCCGTGAAGAGGAGCTTTCTCCCACAATTATCCGCACACTTCGTCTAGAATGTGAGGATAGGCAGCAGGCAACCTTTCGTCAGCGTCTCCACTCAATAAGTGTCTCGCTTACAATAAGAAATCTGCGGCTTCGTCTTTTTAATCAGAAAACGGCAAATTGGTCGAGAAACGAAAGCGCACATTGTCCTTTCTCGCTGCAGATGCGAAAAGGCTTGCACGGGCCTGTGTTCGGTTCCTGGGGCGCGGGGTATCAGCTGACGAAGAGCACGATTGTACGGACTGGTTTGGCAAGGCGCACAAGCTTGTGCTGCCAATCTGAAACTTAGACCGATTCCAGGAGCGGCTCCAAAGTGTTTCGAGGCCGGGCCATGCATGAGTGCGTTGCTCGACTCCTGGCTGGAAAACCTGCGCTTTCTTTCTCAATGGTTCCGCACAAAAACTGTGGATCTGTCTGTCTTCAAAAGGGCTGAGTACTTGCGACCATCAATGAAGCACTTTTGACTTGCTGCGGCTAGACACGTCCAACTATCGACCTGCCACATATACTGAGATAATTCAGACTCCTGGGATTAAATTGCATGCATACTTGAGGCGAGAGCTCATGCAAGATCCATGGCATGGGAGAGTCTCTAGCTGCATTTGACTACTTATGTATGATACTAGTGCAGTAACACTGCGCAAGCTTTGCAGCAGCACATGATGGAACAGCTGGACGTGAGACGTTTCACTACCGACCAAGTCAAAATCAACTGCAGAGCTGTACGTGTTTACAAGCCAATGGATTTTCCAGTGTCAAGGGGATTCCTGTGGCCTTTGGAAACCCAGTAACCGTCCAGTCCCAAACCCAGAGCATGTTACTAGCGCTTACCCTCGAACGTTAATGCAAGCGGACAGTTCCTGGTCACGCATAAAAACCGTGTAGGTAACCCGAACTCGAAACCCGTCCCGAGAACTACTAACCTCAAAATTGACCCACTCCCTGAACCTGACCTAGGTAGGCACCGCTCCAGTGCTTGGCAAGCAGCCCATGGCAATGCGAGCTGGGCCACCCGGTTCACCAAGCAAATTCACAATGGCGGCCAATCCGCTCTCTCCAAACTCTCGGGAGAGCTCAAACGAGCCACTGCTATGGATTCTGCACATCCCAGCTGTTCAACCCAAGGAGCATTCCAAGACGTGTCTCGCCATCCCATTGAGCAACTGGGAAAAGAGGACGGTGACAGACATTCTGCGGATAGCACAGGTGAGCTTGAATTGGTCATACCACGGTATACATCCAGTAAGCCAGCTACTTATGATACTTTGGGAGCTTATATGTTGTCATGCAGGCGCCGCTTGCCTTCAAGTTTACAGAGTGGTGCATTGGTTGCAGGATACACAATTCAGCGGTCAGCTGCCCTTGCTGAGTTTCTCCTTCTAATGCGGTCACAATGCACACCTTGTCAAAGGTAGTCACTGGGTTTGGACTGAAAAGAAGTGGCCCCTAATGATATTCTGTGTCTGCATAGATTGGTCTCAAATGCACCATCATTCGAGAATCAGAAGTTAGCTAGAATGCCACCACCATATCTATCTATGTAGAGCTGGAGTCACTTTGATTGTGACTTCTCTTATAGGAAGTCTGCTTTCAGCATAGAACGTCATGATGAGCACACCTTGCCTGATCTAAGCGAAAGAAATCAATCTCATCTCGTTCGGCTCTTGCAGGAGATGGCCCCTCTCAAGACCCGTCAACTCAAGGACCAGATTGAGCTGCGCTTTCAAAGCAGTGGTGCAGACAGTGACACGCTTGCGTGCATGGGGAACACACCTCTGACAGTTGTGCAAAAGTGGATCCTGGAGGAGGGCCCCTGGCCAGCTGACAGAAAGGCGTGGCCGCAACTGTGGGGGGTGCTCTCACCTGCTGCAGATAATCAAGGTAGAAAAATCACACAAAAAGTGAAGGTGGAATGTATTGTACAAAAGTGTCTGAGCTGGGAGAGTCTGCATTCTCCTAAGAAGGAGCTTGCCGCTAATACATTCAGAAAAGAGAAACACTCTAAAGTGACTCTTAGCTGATGTGTTCGGTCTGTATTCCTCTCATAGGCCTGGGAACAGAAGCTTGCACTTCGAATTGAATGTTAATCAGAACGACTCCCTTCCCTTTTGTCCTTGATTGCGGACCTCGGACTTCTTTACCACAAATATGTGACGCTCTGTCAATCAGAGTATGATTGACCACCTGTCATCTTCCTGCCATGCAGCCCCAGAGGCACGTTGTCCTTCTACAAGTGAGATTCTTGCATGCCTTCTGCAAGAATTGTCTATCTTTATCTGCTTTAGCCACCTAGCTTGGAGTTGGGAAAGGCCGTCTTAATATTACTTTCTTGGAACTCTGGAGGAGTGTTCCCCTTCCTCCTCTGCAACCTTTACAGATCTGACAGACCGACTTCTTGTCATGTGTCTTTTGCGCAGCTACCGGCCCTCCTGCGACCTCCACTCAACGTCCTGAAGAAGGCCATCGGGAGCCGAACGACCGGGAACAGAACGCAGAAGAAATTGCAGACAAGGAGGCGAATGGGATCGGCGGCGTGTCACATCTTCAAAAAGGAGGTGGGTTATTTCCAGATTGGATGTACGATTCTGATACCAGCGGGATACTTCGAGCACATACCTTGCTGAAGTGGATCGCTATAGAGGAACGAGCACGATTGATATGAGATGCAGGCTCAGAGACAGACCGGGGTAATTCTTGTCGAAAGAGCTGTCTCCACAGGGGGATACATATGACTCTCATTTGTTCGTAGGGAACCGCAAGCGCAGACACACGACCTGCGAGTGACCGCTTAATCCTCCCTCTGCCGCATCTTCAAAAGCCAGGGAACTCTCAGGACAGATTGAGCAAGGTCCGAAGCAGACGGATAAGTTTAGCTGACCGCTAACTATCTCTTGCAGTATGGTTACCATGTCAAACCAGAGTCAAATGCTGTCTCTGCAGGAACACCCAAAGACGATGCCGGAGCTGGGGAGAAGCAGGCAACGGGTGGTCCTCGGGCAATTCCTGCGCAAAGCCGCAGATTTGATCCCCCTACCCCTCCAAGCCAAACGGAAGAAGACCCTAACAATCTCCAGACCCTGCCTCCATTAACGGACGAAGCTGAGCTTGAGACCCGCCAAAACCCTCGGAACGAGAACGGAATGCAGAACGGAACGGCAGTTCAGGAGCGGGGACAAACCGGTCAGCTGACTTCGGGGTGCGAGAATGGTTCCGCGCCAGGGAACGGCAGTCTCGAAGGAGAACGGAAACGGAAGCTTGGCGGATCCGACGAAGCGGGGTCTTCGAAGCGGGATGCGGAAACGACAGTGGTCGAGGGGGCAGAAGCGGGAAATGGCGAGATGGGGGGGGAGACTCGAACCGAGAAGAGGCGGAAGAGAGCAAACGGCGAAGTCGAGCGGAGGCGATCCAAGAGCGGAGAGAAAGCGGGCGGCCGGAAGCAGCGAAACAGCGCCGAAGGGATCGTGGGAGTGAAGGCGCGCACGCTGAGGCGGCAACGGCCGGCTTTAGGGAGCTACCTAGCTGCTTCGAAGGGCATCGGACAGCTGGGGAAGCAATGGCCGGATGCGAAGACGAAGCTTGGGAAGAAGGCCAAAACGCAAGCAACGGTTCCCGTCGAGAGTCTTGTGGGGCGGTGGGGCCGCAGGAAATGGCGGATGAAGGAAGGGAGGATGAAGGGGTTCAACGGGAAGGTAGTGAAGGGGCCGAGAGACCCGAAGACTGTCAAGGCGACCGATAAATGTTACACGTTTGTTTACGAGGCGAAGGATGGGGCCAGGAAGGACGGGAAGTGCGAGCGGGAGAAGCTGACGATGGCGCAGGTTGTTGCCGCAGTGGAGATGTACAAAAAGGCGGTGGCGTCAGGAGAGTGCGAAGCGGAGGAGAACGAGGGTGAGGAGGATGTGGTCCTGTTCCCCACCGTCGTGAAAACAAAGTAACCAGAAATCTCCATACACAATAAGTATGAACCGATCATCGAAGTGGTGAAATACAGCTGCAAATAGATACTAGATGGCCAGATCGAAGATCTGTGTGACACGGGTGATAGGAAGAAAAGATCGAAGCAGAACGCTACTACTTGAGCGTCATCGAGAAGCGTGCGGCATCTGATGACATGCGTGAGTCCCGGAATCGCCAGAACAAGCTGACCTAGAGATCATGCGCTAGTTCAATGTGAGACTTCGGTAAAAGAAAACTTGTGTCAAAGCTTGTGTAGCTCAGTCAAATGCTGGCATCAGCTAGCTGCAATTCTTCAGGTTCGTACTGCCTGCATGAATACACAACCTTGCTTAAGAGAAGTACTGCACTCAGTTTGCGCCTCGTGTAAGATGTATCATGCATATACGAGCATGACCCTATATACATGTGCGCGACTAACGTCAAGCACAAGTGTTCTCATGCCATGCCGTCCTCATTGCACACGCGATCGACGATCAGTCGCTGAGCTTTACTGTTTACATGCGAAGCTGCGCTCGCCGCCCGCGGCCTTGGTAGAAGCTCGATCGACCAGTATCGATCATTCTACGACTTCCCACCAACTAGGACCGAAGAGCAAAATTGAATCTGCATGAGCTGTTGCACGTTCGTATCATGGATCGTATGTATTGCTCGAGAGCTGAATCAAGCATGCATGTATTTGCCGCCGGCCGGCACCACTGCATTTCGTACCCATGTGCTATGTCACGATCGGGCGCCGGTAAAATGAACGGTGACAAGGAATGGTATGATACTGTATGTCCCGCACATCGTGAACGAGGATATGGGGATGTAGGCAATGATTACCCCAAATAAATTTCATTCCAAGGCACCTTATAAGAAGTGATCCAATCAGGTATCGCTATAGCCTTGAACCGAAAATACAAATGTCATATTGAAAAATGCTAGGTGCACAAATTTGCGACGCATGAATCTGATCTGTCGCGGCCTTTTCTAAGTTGCAATTGGCGACAAATCACGGGCCCGGGCTTTTCAGCACGGCGACTCCGTGAGTTGTTCTTCATTCAATTTTTCATTCTTTTCACAGGATAAAGTACATCCAAAGTGAAGACCCAAAACTCCTGGGTCAGCGGCCAAGGCTGCCTAATCTAAAACTGCCCGGCGACCACAGATTGCCCGGCTCGGTCTCACTCCTCTCTCTGGGTCCCAGGTGGTCGCCAGCCCCTCGTCCAGCGAGTCCAGCTTCTCCATGTCCTCCGGCCTCAGCTCAAAGTTTGTGACCTGAAAGAAACGCTAACCTTCTTAAGAACACACAAGCTCATCTGGTTAACCATCTACATAGGGTTACGTCAACGTATCTGAGACTCGCCAAATCTAGCCGCGTATGGGCTAATAGCCTATGGATCCTTGGTCGGATCCCAGTCGGTGACGAGCCCTTCGTCCAGCGAGTCGAGAGCCTCCATGTCTTCCGGTGCGATCTCAAAGTTGGTTACCTGAACGGAAAACTAAACGTGTTCCTAAGACTTCCCCGAAGACTCTGTGGCAAGCCTGTTGCTATAGCGTCCACGTGGCCTGAAGAGGTGGCAATCCACATCGCCGCCTTGTCGTCACGGCTCCGCCGTCGGATCCCAGATGTCGGTGACGAGTTTCTCGTCCAGCGCATCGAGCTTCGCCATGTCGTCGGGACCGATCTCAAAGTCGGTGACCTGAAGAGGAAAGCCCTTGAGGCTGGTTCCAAAGTTTCATGACCAGATAAGGTGTCCGAGAAAAGGATGGACCTTGATCCGATCCGGGAATTCGTAACGGCTTTTCTCCGAGTCCGGGCCAAAATCTTGGGTTTTGCCCCAAAAACACCCTGTAATTTTGAACATACTGGCACAAAACCAATCACTAATTTGTACCGACCGACTGAACCACTCACCCAAAAGGGGGGTGGACTAGACACCGGGACTTAAGTTCGACCCGCCTAAGCATGGCGCTTCGCTTGAGCTCATCCGTTGTGGATACGGTTCAAAGAGACCTTTGACATCTTTTTTCTACGCCAGCAACAGCTTCGCTACTCGACTCCTACGATAATTGGAAGCGGCTTCAAGTTGTTCTTCCAGGCATATCCCTGATCATCAGATCAATGTTTTTACGAGCTCTGAATGCTGAACGATCATTCATCAGAGCAGAATCAATAATGTCCGTTTTTGGATTTGCGGTCAAAGTAACCAATTCCTGCGTCTACTCCAAACCTCCGCCCAGATATCAGGCCGATTGTTTCTAGCTTGTACTTCTGCTCGCAAAGACTCGAAGCGTCTCTTCCGGGTTTTCGAAGATCGTGTCTTGACTGAACCGCAGAAGGCAGTTTCTTCGCTATCCGTGTTACCTAAATCCTTGCACGACCTTCTTCATAGCGAAGGGCAGCCACAAAACGCAGATGCACGCAAATCGATGGATCCCTTGTCCACCATTGCATTATAGCTGAAACAGCTCAAAAGCGGATGATCAAACGATTGTCGGGGGGTTAAAGGCAAGAAAGGAGCGTATCTGGACAGGACGCGTGTCGGTCAAACACTCGCTCAGGAATTTCAGGGGTTATCTCATGCGCTGGTCGACCATGAAGCTTCTCAAACCCGAAAATACGAGAAGAGAAAACTGCAAGTTTCACAGAACAGGTAGCTGGGATAAACTCGCCTCTAGGTTCATCTTCATACGCTCGCGGTTGGTCGACTTGGCGATGACGATGAAGCCCTTCTGGAGCCCCCAGCGGATCAGGATCTGCGCCGTCGCCTTGTGGTACTTCTTGGCGATCTGGCGGTGACAAGCGAATTTCATATATGAACAGAACGGCGGAATAAGTGAAATTCGCATCTGGGCGGCTAGATTTCGTTGCGGTACTGTTCGACGAAATGAGGAAGGACCGAAATCAGAAGAGAGACAGAAGACCGGAAACAGCAGGTAAACATTTCATTTCATTTCATTTCGGCACTGCTTGCCATCCCGGCGGAGGATCCAAAACGAAGAAGTTGACGGAACAGCGAAATTAGCGGAATCAGGACCTGCGCCGCCGCCGCCTCGCAAAGTCCCTTGGCATTCTGGCGGAGCAGGCGTAAAGAGTTACACGTGTAGTCCGGGCTACGATTGATGTTGGTTCGAAAAGGTGTTAAAATCTCATACTTGGAAAGCACCCGCCGTTTGAAGCAAAGACATGGGTAGAAGGTTTCGATGACCTCGTGAGAAGAATGTGCGCCCATGTTTTAATTCATCTTATGCTACCAGAATGTGTCGGGCAGGGAGAAGCAAACCGTCCGAGTTTCGGCCGGCCACCAACGAACGAAGCCGCCTCAATACTTCCTAATTTCAAGTCCAATGCAGACCAACCCTTCCGTAAACTCACCTACAATAGAAGCAGGACGAGAGCGTCTTTTGGTCTTTTGAGAAATCGCGTCTTTCAAATCAACATGTTACATAAATGGGCATCCGGCAGAAGATACCGGCTCACATGTCGCCACACTTTAAGAATAGCAAGCTTCTCGAGTACTTCGCTCAACCCATCCCAACTCGTAAAAACTACCTCTGCCCCTTACCCTCCCTAAACCCCCAAAATAATCCAAGATCCCGTCCCAGGCTGGGGGTAATTTTACGCTCGTTAAACTTCCTGTTTCAAAATCCTCATGGCTTCGGCCTCACCTCGACGAGCGGCGGGTCGTTGAGCTTGCGGCCGCGCGTGAGCGGGGCATATGCCTCGAGCGCGATGCCGTTCTCGCGGCAGTAGCCCACGATGTCCTTGCGCTGGTTGTACGGGTGCAGCTCGATCTGCGCGCGCGCATTTTTGAACCGTGAGAAGGAGAGGGACCCTGAGCGTTGGCGGTCCTTGCAGACGAGGTGTTTGGGCAGTTCTGAGAGCAGTTTCTTGCAACAAACAACGACGACAACACGGAGGAAACGTGACCCCCAAACTGCGTGCCGCTTTAGAGGTTGCGAGGCGTTCCGGCGGACTAAGTGAAGGCCGGAAACAAGGCACTTGCATCCACGGCAAATGAGATGCACGCGCTGAAAGCCGGGCCAAAGCTTTGAAAGCTTGGATGTTTTAAACAGGGCGGCGGGCCGGTGGGGGACGGTCGATGGTACTTACTCTTTCATCATCTAGCTGCAAACCGTCAAAGCCGTACATAATCTTCCAGAAGGGTCTCGTTTCAAACTTTTCTGTCGGCGGGGCGATACTTGAAGACTGTCCCCAGAAAAAGCTGAGTTACTTCCAACGAAAAAAGGGGGGAGAATTCGGACGTCCGACAAGCAAAATGATTTCGGACCTGGTTGTCAGCGGGGCGGTAGTCGAAGACTATCCGCAAAGCTCGGTAACATTCCAAAAACGGCGGCGACAAATCGGACGTCAGACGAGCCACACGTGTCCGGACCTGGTTGACGGCGGGGCGGTAGTTGCAGATTTTGAGGAGGTGCTCCAGGTGCTTCACGCCGAAATTGCTCACGCCCACCGCGCGTGCCTTGCCGGCCTCCAGGATGGACTCCATCGCGCGCCACGTCTCGTCGCGCGTGCGCGGGCTGCCGGGCGCGTGGACCAGGTACAGGTCGACTGCGGGTTACGGAAATCGAGGTTGCTTTGCGCCACCAGAAGGGAGCGGAAAACTGTTTAGTTAGAGGTTGTCTTCAAAGGTTATGGGAAGAAAGCTGAAACGCGCGCGCCACGTCTTGGCGCGTGCGCGGGCTGCCGGGCGTGTGCACGAGGTACAGAGCAACTGCGGGTTAAGGGATGGTAACAACAAGGTCCTAATCCCGCTACCTGAACTGCGGAAATCGGTTTTAGTTGGAAAGTCAAGAGCAAATTGTGGACGAAGTTACGCTGACGACGTCTCGTCGTAAGTGCGGGGGCATGCGAGGGGTAGATCTAATACACATCGGCTGCGTTGAACGGGCCGAATTACGGCTCAAAAGATTCATAAGCGGGTACCAACAAGAACGTCCTGCAGAATCTTTAGGGACCAGGCGAGGTCATCATTAAAGAGCGTTTAAACATCACGATAAAAATTGGCAACCAGCTGATGACGGCTCCACACCGTTCGATCAGAACTCAAATCGCAAGGACCCAAGACCCCGTTCTGAGCCACTTCTGACGGGATCAATTGATTGCAGCCAAGTGGACGAAAGGCGGTTATAGTAAACCCAAGAGAACGCCACGAACCATAAAATTGAGTTCAAAGGGACTGCGGGTAGAAAAGTAGACGTGAAAGCAAATACACCCTCGTTTAATCCAAGTCTCCTAAATCAGAATGTTTGCCATTGCGGAAATGAAGAAAAAACGGCAGCCTCAAAAACTTACGAAGTAGAATACAGATCCTCCACTCTCTTTCGGGACAAGCAACACACGTTTGGGCGCACATCTCTTACCGTAGTCGAGTTCCAGCTTGTGCAGGCTCCGCCCAAAGGCGTGCAGCGTACGCTCGAAGCCGTGGTCGCTGTTCCACAGCTTGGTTGTCACGAAGAGCTCCTCGCGGGGAAGCCCGCTCTTCTTGATCGCCGCACCTGAGTCCAAGCCGTAGTCACTGTTGGATGATTATGAAGCAGAAAAACATCATGCAGATTGTTTGGTTTGACAAATTAAAGCCGGGGTCGCTGTTACACAGCTTGGTCGTCACGAAGATTTCCTCACGGGGAAGCCCGCTCTTCTTGATCGCCGCACCTGAATCGAAAGTAGACGCTGATGGGTATCGGTCGACGAATAGGTTGTTCGGTTTTGGGACACTGAAGATGGGTGCTTTTTACCTCAACTGCCTTGGATCGCGCACCCGAATCGAACGACAAAGTTCGTCGATACAGAACCAATGAGAGAGCTGCGCCTCTTCAATTGGTAATCCTGCGGGTTCTGTTTCTTTTTTAAAAATTCTGGTCGATCAACTCAGTCAGATGAATCTTGTGCGGTCAACCACTCTCGATGGAGCAAACAGCAACTGCTGTACATGAGGTTACATCCAAAGAGCATTTTCGCATTCTGACACATTCTGATTGAAATGTCTTGACTGGCAAATATGAGAAGACCTTTTCAACGGCTGCAGCTCGAAGATGATCCGCATGGAGATAGTACGTAAGCATACATTGCCCCATTTGCTATTCTGTAAGGGCTCCTGCCTCCATATCTTTCGCGGATAGAAGCCGCATCTAGGATAGAATCTTTGCATGCATTCAAGTCGTCAGCCAAGCTAAAATGCAAGGGATCGGAGCACAGAAGAAGCGCTGCAAGCAGATTCCGCATGCGACACCCATTGTGTTTGAATCTTATCCATCTGCGAGTCGCCACTTTCAGCAGTTTCTTATAAAACGAGGGAACTAGCTGCTCAGGGGAAAAGCTCTTCGCACAGGTATTCATTGGCGGTTGGGTCCAAGATCCTTTTTGCAAGCAAAGGAAAAAAAGCACACGAAGATTGAGGGAGTGCGCGCAAGAGATAGCTCCCTAGGAGAGAGGCACATACCCACAGACTCTTCATTCTGGTAGACCGCCGCTGTATCAATGTGGCGGTAGCCAACCTTCAGGGCAGCGGAAACCGCCTGTTCCGTCTCATATCCAGGCGGAATCTGATAAGTGCCAAAACCTAGCCGCGGAATCTTGACCACGGTGTTTTGGGGGGGGTTCGCGATCTCCGCATAGCCACCGGGCGGCTCGTTGGCATTTGCCATATCTGCCTTGGCAACAACGGCGACGTAAAGCGATCCCTATTGCTCAAAAGATTCGCAGACCTTCTCTGCCTTCTGTGTTTCTCGAAGCACGCAACGACCCTGCTGATCCGCAAATGTGGGTTGGGGAGTGGTTTCTGAGGAGGAGACAGTAAGGGGCAAAACAAGAAGCTCTTCGTGATAATTCTGGAAGGAGGAGAGACTCTGTAACTAGCTTTCCAGGTTTGCGCGCGTTCGAACCCACCGTCAAGGCCGCCATGCGCAAAAAGATGCGGCCACCTGTGACCTTCGCTCGATTTGACAAACAACTCATCGAGCGCCTAAGCAGATGCCATGATGGAGCCTGCGATACTGCGAGCAGGAGCTTCAAGCGCGAGCGGCCGCGCGCGCGCTTACGTCATGCTTGGTGCCCTGCCGTCATGCTTGGTGCCCTGACGAATGAATGTTGCCCTGCCCAATGATGCGTTCACGTTACGCGCGCGTAAGGTCTCTAGGGCGACCGTGGAACCCATAATTACAGCTACCAAATCGCCGCTGCTGCTCTGCTGACGGGGCAACTGCAACTCACCGGTGGTTTCATCTATCTGTTAACACGGTGACCTGATCCGCCCGGCCCGCACCCATGCAGTAGGATTTGGCGTGCATGCCTTGCATGAATCCGTAGCTCGACGTCCGCTGGAAAGGACCAGCTAGGGTGCGCCTTTGGAGTGACGACGAAGATCCGGATCAACCGTCTCTGAGCCTTCCTTATAGAACCGTCACTGAATCAAAGCTGTATCGGCTGCAGGATGCAAACCGCTTGCATAATCGAAGGTTGCATGAATATTTGTACGTTGCGACGACTATCAGAGGATGGCACGGATATTCCGGCTGCAAGCGTCGCACATGTGAATTGTGTGCATGAGAAATTGTCGAATTATGCATAGAGCTCATGGCATATGTTTCCAATGCAGCTATACTATGATAATGTGTTATATATGCGCGGACACGCTACATACGGTGATATGACTTTGAAATTTCACGCGCCATATATGTGGTGAGCTAGTCCGCGTTGCCAAACGAGGATCGACTCGATCATGACGAGGATCGACTCAATGCCGCTTGCAGGCCCGGCGCCCGTGTGCACCGTACATTGATCCAATCATCATATGACTTAATGCGTGCCGGACACATACTGGCTCAGGGGACTCATGGGCTGCATGGCAGGCCGGCGCGGCTGCTGCAAACAACTGCATTGCGACGCGCATCTCTTACGAGAATTACTTGGCCGGCCACTCATGCAACCCGATGCCAGATGGACGTCTTCCGAATAGCCGGATTATATTGATTGCCAGCAGGCATGGCGGGCCACGTGTTCGAATTCTACTCATTGAGTTGACCCTCTCAAATCCAAGAACATGTGTCACTTTGAGGAAACTAGCTTTGATCACTCGATCCAATTGCACTTATTGCCGTTTGTGCTTAATATGCACATTACACGCACGGATGGTCATCTAGAGCTAGGCAAAGCAAAGCAACACTGTCAATAATTGTTTCGTCAGCAACTGCTAGCTCGCTAAGCCTGTACAATGAAGCTTCGATGACACATGTCCATGTCTTTGAGCAACTCGACTAATCTAACACACGACAGAGTGTTCTTAAGACATGCAGTACAATCTCTAAGGCTGGGCACGCAACAAACCGACTTCTCCACATGGGAAGTGAACGGACAAACGCTGCACACCGAATGTTCGAAAGCAACCAACTAGGTTTACAAGGCAGTCAACGAGGGGTAATCGTGAAGCAGTTCCGTTTCCGACAGCGTGTCGTTGGCGTCCTGCGGCGTCCAAAGAATCTCCACCGCTTGTAGCTGATCCACCGGTACGGAACCCAGGGTCGTCAGCGCTTGCCGCAAGTCCTCTGCGGACCTGACGGACGGCAGCTTCAGGTTGCCCTCGGCGGCTACGATCACTGTCACCTGAAGAGGAAAGAAAAGGAGTGAGTTGGAGAAACCACAGCAAAGTTGGGGCACGGAAGGAATCGAAGGCGACGGAACGAGACAGAGCTTGCAATCATCAACAATTCCCTACGAAAGTACCAATAAGAACGGACGCAATCCTCCTCACACAACAAGGTTGCAGACAATGAACTAGCGCCGCCAATACTCCGCCCAAAGCGCTGGCAAAGAGGTGTGGGGTTGAGAGGCCACCAAAGCATCTGATAACAGCTGATTGATAGGGTGATGTTCCAAACATTATTGAGCAGGTGGGCGTCAGCAAGACGATTAGACTCAAGCATCCCCATTTGCCTGACGCGCTGTACAGAACATTCATCAGCTGTCTCCAAGTACGCTCAAACTGCCTTCCGAATGCATCCGCAAACGCAGGAAGCAGTCCGCTTGCCACTACCACGCAGGGAAGAAAACGGTAAACATTCCAATTACCTCTTCCCACGAACTCTAAAAGGCCGACTGACTGCAACATCAACTCCTCTGGTTCAAGAAGAAGACAGGATAACGTACCACAATGTACTCGTTGCCAAAGCCGTCGCCCTTTGGATTGAAACCGCCCTTCTTTTTCAAGCTGTTGACATTAACGTACGTCTCCTGCTCGAACTTGCGGCGCTCCTCCTGCACGCCACGTGGCAAAAGGGACGTCTGAGAGTTGAACAAGCGGAGACTGACGCGGAAACCACAAGAACGAATTCAGGAAAGAATCGGAGTCAAGGCAGCGGCAACAGTTTCCACACGTCAAAACAGATCAGCGGAACCAACAGCGCACCGTTATTCATAAACTGTGGCTTTAAACACGCTAGAGGCTGCCTGCGGGTCTACAATCAAAGTCGGACGACTACAGTGGTTCAGAAGGGACAGCTTGCAGAACGATGTACCTCAGCCCCTCAATAACAGAAGACTGTACATAACAGGAACATGACAGGAACCAACCTGAATGACAGGCTGCTCCGTTGTAAAACGCAATGCAATAAGCTGTCCTGCACAATCGGCTGGCGACTATACTCAAGAGACAAGTGGCAAGAGAAAATTCTCTCGCTCTTTGGCCCAGTCTGATCACTCGACCTGGCAAAATAACAAGCGGCGAATTTACGTCAGACTTTCCGGCAGAGAGACTTACCAGCGACAGCTGGTTGAAGGAAGCTTCCGCGTTCTCGAAACTCTTCGCCTTGTCTGTCTGCAGACGAAAGAACGGCTCGGTTGTTAATACACAACACTGACAACAAAGAGATACGAAAAAGTGCTTCATACGCACAATGGACCGCTACAAAAACAAACTCCTCCTCGAGAAGCATGGAAGACCAACGAGCCTGCTTGCGCATCAATGACACTCGGAACTCAACACCCATAAGATGACAAAGTTCCTCTCCAGTGGTTTACAAAACAAGCAGAGCTAGACCTGGACTTCTACCACATCTCCGAAACGGATAGACAGACTAAGTGACGAAATACTCGCTATCGTTCTGCTAGTGTTTCGTCATTTAGTCTGTCTGAAGTGGAGTTACTGAAGTGGCGTGACAGCAGAAGGAACTGCCTCTATGCTCCCTGCGGCAGAGATGCTCACGGGCCCCTGAGAACTCCCTCAAAAGGCATGGGAGAAGCAAGAAAACAGCAAGAAAGCTCACCGTCCCTCTGCCGTAGACGCAGTACTCGGGGTGCCGCAGGAGCGAAAGAACCGTCTCAGTCAGGACGTAATGCAGGCCGCTGGTGGTGGACGTGTCAGCGCGGTCTGCTATCCTCTCCAGGTCGCGCTGCAGCGTGCGCGCGTTTCCAAGCAGGCCCACCTGGAAGGAGGGCGAAGAGTGGTGTGCAAATAAAGCATTTTGCTGGTTGCTTTTCAAATTGAAGCAGATAAGAATCAAAGTGTTGCAAGCATAACGATTGGAAACGTAGACTGCTCCCTGTAGCGAAATAGATTCGAAGAGAAGGCCCTCCTAGGGAGAGGGCCAAGAATAGTGAACAAAAAACAAGGAGTCTGGTCTCCAAGGAAGTTCTGCACCCAGCTGCTTTAGCTGGCAGCCTTTTGCTCGAGGGGACTGCAGTGGGGCGGTTGGACTCAATGGGACAAGGTTTGCAAGCAATATTCACACGGCTCTGCTTGCGGAAGAGCAAATGCATCATCGAGATGGATCTGTTGCCTTTTAATACCACGGAAGAGGACAGAACTTTAAGGGGAATGCTCCTTGTATGTTAGTCCCTTCCCTACAACAAGAAAAGGTAGAGAAGGGGGCCAATGATAGAACTTCGTTTGAAAAGCAACCGAAAGTCAGGCCAGACGGTACCATAGTTGAGCGGAAGTGGCGACACTGCTGAAAATGCTGCAATTCGCGGGCAAAGGTCCACTTCTCAATCAAGTCCACTTCTCATTCAGGGCAGAATACAAAACTGAAATGAGTTGACAACGGCCGCAAAATGGAAGGGTATGGAAACTGCGAATGGATGCAAGAGATGAGTGTCGGTGCATCGATCTGCCTCCTTGCACCAGATGGTGCTGATAATGTTTGTGCAAGAGAGACAAACACATTGCAAAGCATTGCGCTCAGATATGAAGCTTACCTGCAGTCTCATGACTGACACAGCGTCTCCTCCGCCCAGGATCCCCCCATCGCTGCGGCTCGAAATGGCGCTTCCAACAGTCTGGACCAGGAACAGCGCCAGCATGCCGAAGAGTAGGAAAGTGAAAATGCTGCTCCCTCCGTATCCAACGCCCACACCAATGCTAGGAGCGAAGAAGCTGAAGGGAGAGAAACCGAAGGGCGAGAAGCCTCCGTAGTAGCTGGTGTAGGGGGCTGCGTAGGGGGCCGAGTAGATGCCTGACCCGTAGCCTCCGCCGCTGTGAGATAGAAAAGATCAGTGTGAGGATTGGTATGAAAAGGATAGAAAAGTTAAGGGTTAGGTTTGACAAAACGGTAGGCGTTTGCAGATAGTCGTTGTGCTATTTCACTCTGGTCTGTTGTTTCTGTGCTCAGCTGTTATAAAAAGCTGGTGTAGATAGGATGGGATGGTATACTTGCCAGTGCCCAAACAAGTCCAATGCTGAGGCACCAAAGGAAGAAAAGAAGTACTTTGAGAAGTTTTGGCGTAACTGGTGCACTTACCAGTTTAACTGAAGTGAGAAGCAGGCTCTCCAAGGCAAACAATGCCACTATCAGGCAAAACATGCCACTATCCCAAAAAAACCATCCAGCATAAGGCCGATCCATCATAAGACCCCTAGAAAGTACACAGATCGTCTCCATCTCTTTGGAAAGTAAGGTAGTCTTCTGCGAACAGCACCAATCTCCTCAAGAGAGTTCTTCGCAATTCGTCTCCGGCCTTCTTTTTAAATCCTCGATTGGAAGAGCAAGAACTGCTTCAAGATACAACCGATCTAGCCTTCAAGAAAACAGCAAGAAGACAATCTCATGAATCTTCCAAAATGAGAAAAATCAGGGCAACCTTGTCAGAAACTACAGCTATAGTGAAAGCGTAGGCTGACTGCAATTTTGTGCATCCCGTTGACTGTTAGACCACTGAACAATCAACTTACAGGCTCGGAGCAGAGTAGGAACTGCCAGATGAGTAGCCCCCACTTCCACTTCGTGAATAGCTGCCTCCTCCTGAGGATGAAGAGCGCGACGACGAAAAGGCGCTCCCGCCAACCCTGCCCCCAGAAGTAGCCGCCAGAGCATCCCCCGAGAACGATGTCATCAACATGGCCACCAGAGCCGCTACCAGCACCGGCTGCTTTGCGACCTTAAGGACCGAACTGAAGATCTCCCCTGCCTTTTGCAGCAAAAAGTGCTGCAAGGGGGTGTCCACAACCCTAAGCTTCTTTTCAATGGGGGCCTCAGCCTCTGCGTGCTTTTGTGGGAAAGCGTTTTCCTCCACACATGGCTCCACCCTGAGACTGCTTCTTGCAACTCCTTCCCTGCTCCGCCTCCTGCGCACGGTCTGCAAAAGGGTGCACCCGAAGCATTCTGAGGTCCCCAGGTAAGCAGACTTGCTGCTCAACAAGGGGGCTGCTGCTGTCCGATTGGAAACCCTCTGCCTCGTGCCCAGCCCGGCAGTGTTGAGGACTGCCAGGGCGGCGCCAGGCGCTGTGCAAACTGCCGCCATTGCTATGATACAAGCACTCTCGGCCTTTCTCGCTTCTCCTTATTAACTGAGGCCCAAGATGCCTCACCGGGGTGCCGCAGGCGCTGCAGTTGACTCTTGAAAACTCAGATTCAGCTTCTCTGATTTGGATGAAGGGCGTTCAGCTTCAGCAGATTTTCTTAGAGAAGTGGGAAGATGCGCCCTAAACAGAAGAGCTTCGAAGCAAATAGCAAAGCAGGGCGGCAGCCACCAAGGCTGGTACGCGACGCAGATGGAGAAGCAGTCTAGGACGCACGTTATATGCAGCCACGTCGTCTTCTCAGGCCAATGAATCTGCCAGGTCAGACGAAGGTTCCATTCTGCGAACGCATTCACACGTTTTTGGATTTTGGGAATGACACAGGTTCGTGACTGTTGACCAGCCACTATTAAATACGATTCAGCAAAGAGGAACATGAGCGGTTTGGCTGGATGATGCAGTTTTGAACATTTTTGTGTGAATATACCCTCTTGTTTTGACCGTCGATACGAGATTTGCTGTGCTATCTGCCGTGGATGGGGGACCCAGCCTCACCACCCCGCTTGAAATTTCAAAACTGAATCCTTCGCAATTCTTCTGTGACAGAGCAGCAGTGGCTGCGACGCCTCTTTTCACTGCTCGAGGCAGGGAAGCAGTGTTTTATGGCGGCTTGCAATCGCCTGCAAACAGCTAAGATTCTAGGAGGGAGCCTAAAGGGATCACTTTTCATTAGGGTAGGTAGTACGGTAGCTGTCGAGAACTGATCACGTCAGAAGCGGAGACCAGCAGGTTTAGATTGCGATGGGAACTAGGAATATGCTTTTGGAGACAAACAGGATAGAAGTTGGAATGTGTCAGTGAAGTTGAATAAGCAGCGCCACTCCTAAGAAGAATACAGGAGAAAGCATAAGAAGGACAGGCGCGGGCGCTGTCTTCTTTTTGCAGCAAGCAGTACAGCCTTGGGGCGGTGCAGACAGATCAGGCATCCAATGCTCGACCATCTCTGAATAGCCACAAATGAGAAAGGTAAGCTGGGCATCAGTCAATGCTGATCAGGAATAATGCAGCTTATGGATGCACATCGGAGCGCTAATGCGATTGTAAGCGCAAGGGCAGATTACCTGAAGTGCTATCAATGCACCTCTCATGCAAAGGATAACGCCCTGATAAAATGCGATGGCTTTTAGGGTTGCAGTCTTTCACTGCTCTTATCAATTGCTATTTTAAGGGCCGCGTGCTTAAAAAGGTTGCAGCAAGAAGGCACGCAAATCTTGAGGACACAGGGACCCAAAAAGACTCGCAATAAAATGCTGGATCGCACCCAGATGACTCATCTAGGGTGTTGCCTGATTCATGTGAGTTCTGCCTGACTGCTGCTAAGAGCTTTCATATCCTTTTAGCTTGGCCACATCAAAGCAAGGGTATGAAACTTCTTAGTAAACCTGAATCTTCTTAGTAAATCTACTTTCAGAGCACACGAATGAAGGCAACTAAGAAGAGTCTAGAACGCAAATAAGGCCACATTAAAGGCATGGCCGCTTCCAATGGCAGGTGGCTTGACAGCACGTGGTTGCTTCGATACTTGGTCAACAGGTTGGTTGACAGGCTTCCACAGCATGCCCCTGGGTGGCCATGCGGCGCGCTCCGAGCCCCAAGCGGCACTACGAGCAGCTGTTCTTGGACTTGGGGCAGACCAATTTCACGCACACCACGTGTTCTGTGTGCGGCCTGCTGTATGCAATGGGTGTGCAGCAGGACGACAAGGTGCACGCGACCTTCCACAAGGCCTTTATGGAGGGGATCACGTTCAAGGTAGGCCTTACAAGCTTTACTATTTGCTTAATATAAAGTAAACCCTTTCCCTAAACTATTTCCCTTAATATTCAATACTATTTCAAGGATCAGGCAGAGTCACTCAATATTCAGGGGATCACATTCAAGGTAGGGTTCACTGGCTGTGAGCTTGGAAGGCTCACGGAATGCTTTAAAGGGAAGGCTTCCGAAGCGCGGACTGTTGGTTTTCGGAAAATTTCAATTGCCAAGAGCTCTGTAGCTGCAACTCCACGAGAGGCTTGGGCTTGCAACGTTGAACGCAACATGAACATGCCACATTGACAGCGAGAGTAAATCTGCATTGCGCTGCCGGAAACAGCTTGTTTGAGCCAGTCAAACACCTCTCCGCAAGAAGCTGCAGATACTCGTTGAGCGTTGACGTGCGCAATTTGGTAGCCTTATCAGAAACGCAAGTTCATGCTGTGCAGGGATGGAAGAAGGAGCGGGCGTTTCGTGTCGCAGGACGACCAGATCAGAGGATTGTGCTCATCCTGCCGGGAGACGGCGAAGTGCATCAGAGAAAGGTTAGGCATCAATTAGGTAGACCAACCCTTTGTCAGAGGATGGAGAGGATCTTACAGAGCTTGGCTCTACACACTGAGACACTCTGCCCCAAGACTGTGATGGCTCTTTGCGGTGGCACGTATGCAGCTCTAACCCGGTCCTTGAGCAAGGCACGGGTCTGCATTCTTTGCCGTTCTTTCTGAACACAAGTACTGCACACCGACGCACAAACCAGGGTTATTTTTTCTCGCTTTGGATGCTGTGGCCTTTCTTCTATGTAGCATCTTGCTGTACAAGTAAACCTTGCGAGGCACTCAAACACTGACTTTGCTGTGGCACAGGTGTGAGTTTGGCTGATTACGCAAACCCGAATTTTGTTATCCATCCTAACCTGAATTAGTTTGCAGGTCAGAGAAGTTGCGGCGGTGATGGAGGCGGACCTCGGACTGGCAGAGGAGTGGCTGCTGAGCAAACCTTGCAAAGTGAGCCCTGAAAACCCAAGCGGTACATCATGTTTGGCCCGTGCAGCCCCACTCTTGGACTCCGCACGGCATGAGGGTTGCACCCTATATCATTCAAATCTTTGCTGCAGACTCATTGTCTACCTTCACTTGGTTCACCAGCTCAAGATGCACTAAAAAAACTTGGACGGATACTTTTGACCAATCAGAAGTTTCAGCCACAAACCCAGCGCATCCAGTGTCTTCATGAGCTTCTCTTGTTGACAGCAAGTCAACCCTTCCAGAGATTCTTAGGAGACAACAAGCGGCAGAACAGTGACTCAACGGATGATAGCAGCTTAGCAATTAAACTGCAGGTATAGAGGAGCAACTTGCCACCAATCAGAGTCGCAATGCCGAGATGAGATTCTTCACTAAACCTGGATGAGCAGCTCTAGTCCTCCTGTAAAGCGGCGTTTGAAGACTGGTTGTGCTTCACACCCCTCAGCGCTTCTCTTTAGGCTACGGACATTGCCACACTGTGTCTTTGAGAATGCAAATCCGGGTTGGAAAATTAGTACCCATACTCTCACTCCTTTCCAACCCCCCAGGTGTATCTGTACATCGCTGCTTCCAAGGTCGTGGGCTGCCTCATGGTCGAGAGCATCTCCCAAGCTTACAAAACCATACTCCTGCGGCCCCCTCAAGAAGCAGAGCAGAGAGACGCCCTGCTGGAAGCGACACCTGCAGCTGACGTCAGCAAGGGCGACGCATTCGTCAGTACGGGGCGGGTCTTTCCAGGGCCGGGGGCCGCCTCGGGGGTGGCACAGGGGGCACCGGGATCCGTTTTGAGAGAGGGCTCTGTTGGCGGAGAGGTTTCGGAGGCGATTGAGGGACACAACGGCCGGGAAGCGAGCGAGAAAGGAGTGCAGCCAGTCGAGAAGGTCGGTACTTCAGCGAAGGGAGGTGTGAGTACAGTCGAAAGGGCAGTCGCTACCGCGGACGATGGTTTGGGAAAGGCCCGGACTGAGCCGTTGGAAGAGGAACCTGTTGAGGGGTTCGTGGAGGATTGGCGAAGGGGGGACAGTTTAGCAGGGGTTCCGGAGGCAGGTTTAGACTTGCAAGGACGAGACGATTCGACTGCTGTCTTTGACGTAACGAACAGAGGTGAGCCCGGGAGCGCTCGAGAGGGGGACCGCGCGGGTGCTGAAATTGGGCGAGCATTTCATTGTCGTACGGCCCGGGCGGAAGGCGGGAAGGAAGGAGAGATAGGATCTGGCGAGCGGGCAGCACGGGAAGAAGAACTAGATGGAGGGAACGAACAGACAGCAGCGTTTGGACAGCCGACAGGTACAGGTAAACCGGCACAGCACGCAGGTGAATCAAACTCTTTTGACGTTAGTAGCGTAGGCGATGGGCATCCGGACTTCGTGGGGGAATGTTTGGAGCGGCGAGTGGATCCGGAAACGGGTCCAAGTCGAAGAGGGCGGCAAGGCACGGGACCGAGCTCCGGCCAATCAGCTGCCGCGCCTGAAAGATACCCTGTGGCTGTGACGCAACACGAATGCCCAGCGGTGGATGCGTTGCAGCAGCCCTGTCAACTCCCGTCCCCAACTCCACAACTTTCCGAGCCCCTCGGACAACCAGAGCGGCTTCAACCATTCACCGAATCGAAGTTCGAAACCCCAAAACCCCTCCCGTCCCAACAATCAGCTCGGCCTAAAAAACCGTCGGAAGGCCCGAGAGCCCTCCAGGGGCGCCCCTCCCTATACGCCCAGATGATGTCAGCGTCCGGCAGGAAGCGGGTGAAGAGCGAAAAGCGGACGTCCGAAGTGAAGGAATTGACGTTAGTGGGGGAGCCGCAGGCGCTCATGTGCCGAACGGAGGCGGTGCGAGCGACGTGCGGGGTGCGGGCGATTTGGGTGCGCAAGGCGGAGCGGCGAAAAGGGGTCGCCACGGCACTTATGGATGCAATGAGGTGTGTATCACTCTGACTGGATTGTATCTTTCTTTCTCGCACTCCTAGTTCTGGCTCGATCCGGGCTGAAGGTTCTGAGGGGCTCTCGGGAATCCTTGCAACTTGGTTTACAATGAGAGTTTGCCTGCAATTGAGGCGCTGACGAAGTTATTTCCAGAAGTGGTCAGCTGATTGCACAGGATCGTCACATATCGCCTCCTGCTTTTCTGTCGGTCTGAAGCAAGGGTGCAGTGAACGGTCAATGAGCGGCTCGGATGTCAGCGTGCGGAGGTTCTTGGTTGTTTTCTGAGTCTTGAAACAGCCGCTTCGAACAAGATCAAAGAACGGTAAAATCCTAGCCTCAACGCTTCCTATAGCAGACCGCCGTTTAAGGAGGCACTTCAAAGTGAGCACACGACACGTGGCAGATATAGCTGGTACTGAGAAAACGCGCTATTGTCAGCTCCAAGAACGTCATCGAAAGTTAATGCGCCAAAAGAACATTTTCATTGACGACCGACCCTGTGCTGCAGGTCATCCTTCGTCACGGGCTGCGTTTTGGAGCCATCTACGTGTGCTTTTTCTCAACCGACCCCGGATGGCAGGCGCTTTGCAGCAAGATATTGCAAAACTGACACGTTCCTCGTCTATCAGTAGTGCGGACATTAGAGGGCCTGCCAGGCCAGGGCCCAATTGATTTCTGTCTTGCTTCTCTAAAGCAGCAATCACGGCAAAGCCGCCCGACTATCATTAATTCTCCTGCATCTCTTATGGCGATGCGGAACCCCCGCTATATGATACAACATGCTCAGTTGACGATCCTTGCATAGGGCTAAATCGAGCTTGTCTGAATGTTTGCGCTCAACATGACCGGGCCAATTAAGGGGAGCAGATCTGATGTGAAGGAGATTGCATCATTAAAACAACGCTAGAGTTCTGGGATTACAAACTCGGTCCACTGACCAGATTCATTCACCACGATCGGCGGGCTATAAACATCGCTGCATATGAACCTAATTCACTATGTTGCATGCGCCCTCAGTAGAATTAAGCATGGCATGCGGTAGTGCACATATGGCGGCATGCCTGACTAGCTGTCCGATATCCCCTTCACGGCCTGGCCGGCGGCCGTCGACTTTTATAGTATGAATTATACTCTGCTATATCATTGTACCTAGGCAGAGTGCACACTGATGCTGGAGGGCACCGTATGTCGCAAATTAGGCCCCATCCAAATTCGATCATGAACAAAAAGGAGAGTCTGCCCCACACGACCGCAGCCAGGCAACCTTAACGATATGATGCCCATGTCATGTCCGATCTCAGCAATGCGGGTCTAAGTTGACGACCAAATCAGTTGCACCAAGAAGAGCGGCAGAGCTGACATCGTGTGATTGTAATGCGAAGGCTGCATGGCAATGAGAATGAGGCTTGAGGACAATCCGTTTGGCAGAACGTTCATCATCCCACTTGCCCCGCACTTTCTTGGGTCAATGCCCCCATGGACGGCAGGTCGCGTATTTGGAGATTGCAGCAAGAAAGCTTTCTCTTTGAGTTTCAAAGAAAATGCTTCATCCGGATTCTAGTCTTCGTCCATTCCGCCGGCTTCAGGTTTCTTTGGCCCGCCAGCTTGCTTGGCCATGATAATCTGCAGATTCAGAAGATTCGTCCTTAGAGCAAATGTCACAAGTATCCGACCACGTAAGGAGCCTATTCAACAACGCGTGCAATTAAATACCGTATTCTATTTTTGAGGAGCAGCGGTGCAGGAAAAATGGAAAAAGATCCTTTGAAATCAAGGAGATTCTAAGACAAAGCTAGACGGCCGAAAAGTGAAAGAAGGTCCACCAACCACAATCCCGATTCAAGAGGGAACCGAAGATAAAGGGCAGAGCATGCTTCTCTTGTTTTTATCTCACCTGATCTACGCGCAGGACGGTGACCACAGCATCAGCGGCGAGGCGGATGGCCCAGTACCTGTAGCGACAATGATGTTGGTCAGCAGTCGAAATTGCCGGCTTTGTGTGTTGGCCTGCTACATGTTTTGCGATGTGGCCGTTGTGTCCCAAACGTCCCCCTTATCCACAGTCGCAAGCAAGATCGACAAGGTTAGCACAGCTCGTCTCGGATGCTTTCCTCCCATGCTTGTCGTAATGTTTGATTTCGTGTAAAATCAAGTTCGTCCAGACAGGTCTTAGGAGTTCTCGGGCAACCAGGCTTGTAATTCAGAAGGCAGTCTGAAGAGAGCCCGCTTTCTTGCAGTGGGTCGGTTTAAACCGTTTGCTTTGTTACACAGAGAAAGGGTACTCTCGGACCTTTCTGTCAATAATCATGCCTTGATCAGTCCGTCCATTCAGGGGACGTCTGCAAAGAACCGGCCTCGCGCGCGGAGCCACGCAAGATTGCCGTGTTCCTCGCAGCAGCAATGAAAAAATACTTCACCAAACTCTCTCTGTCGCGAAGAGAGTTGCCACAAAGTAAAGGCCGCACTTAGCCGTCGTACTTAAGTTTCTCTTCGTCCAGCACCAGAATCGCCATCACAAAAATGAAACACGTGGAAGTTGCAATGGAACGGGTAAAGCAGAGCCTGTCGAAAAAACTCAGTGCCCAAAGATTCTCGCGCGCGTCCCGACCAGAACCTCACTTTGTTGCGTACAGGTCCCAGACGCTCTTTGTCGTCAGATCCTGGATGGTCCCCTCGTCGACGTTGATCCCGGCCTTGTGCTCCCCACGCGCGTGAGCAGCGTACAGACCGCTGATGATGTCCGTCGCGTTGAGGCCCGCGTTCTCGGACAGCGTCCGGGGGACCACCTCCAGGCTGTCCGCGAACTTGTGGATAGCGTATTGGTCCAGCCTGGGCAAACGGCGATGGATACAGCATTGATTGAGATGGCAGAAACAAAACAGTCCTGCCGTGAGCTGGTCTCCTGTCTGGCACAGGGAAGCTTGCTGGAAAGGCCAATTGAGATTCAATGGCATCGCAAGTGGATTCAACACTCTGGATATTTACGATTGCAGGAAGATGTTCACCGGAACCAAGGCCGCCATAGCATAGGCTTGATTGCTGTCATGGTCTCTGCACACAAATGTCACGACCGCTACACCAAACAGAATCATCTGGTCTGGCAGAATCCCAAACAGTAGAGAATTGCAAAGTTGACCAGAGAAAACACGAAGTATGTCCTGGTGATTGGACCATCCGGAAAGACTGTCCTAGTGACCAGACTCAAGGATAACCGGGCAAGAATACAAGGCAAGGACAACAGCAGAAGAACGCATAAAGGCAGGTAAGGCGGAGCTGCTCGCTCACCCGGTTTCCTTCCTGCCATACTCCCTCAGCCTCTTGGCGAGCTCTATCTCGGTGGCGCCCGCGCCGGCAACCAAGCGCGGGTCCTTGCCCATCGCCTGCGAGCATGAGGTATTATTCTTTCGTCAGACTTCCAATCCGACCGTCACAGGCCAGTTTCCATAAAGATTTCTATGGACTTCCTTTCGTCGTCCGGGGATGCATGGGGGAATCCGCAGCTGGGTTCAAGCTTGGGTGGGCGCTAACCCACGAAGCGAAGTGAAAACACAAAAATACTTTTTTTGCCAGCGCACCTATAAACGGGTCTTTCAATCAGCGAAGAGAAAGAAAGTCTCTTCCAGTTTAGAAGGGAGCTCGAGCCAATGGAAGTCGACAATTTGTGCCGTTACTCGGAGCCGCCTCAATACATATGCTTACACGCTTCAAAATACACAAAAACTAGACTGCTCATTTGACTCAATATAACCAGGAAGCAGCCAAAAAGGGAGGATAAACGAGAGCAACAAAGGAAGGGAATGATAAGTAGAGATGGCAACAATGAGAGAGGCCCCTCACCTTGTAGGCATTCACACCGTCCTCGATGGCCCGTTCGATGTCATCAGCGATGTTGTCTGTACTAGCTCGGACCACCACGGTGGCGATGTGGTTGCCGCCAGTCTCGTTCCTCACGATTGTTACCTGACGGACACAGATGTTGTACTTAAATTCGAAACCTTGTTAAGAATTCAGTGTCAATTTGCTGGGGAAAACACAGTCGTTGAATCTGAATCTGTGTTGACGGTAGCAATGGCGAACGAAGTCACCTCAGGTTGGAAGGCGTCACGAGCAAAAAATGCATAGAATAGACGTATCAATATGCGTGAGTTAGCACAATTGGAAAATTCGACTTCTCCAGATTCGGGCTCCAGGATTTGAAAAGAAGAGGGAAAGCGTCCAAAAGCTCATGAACAGACCCCGCTTCCAAGCACAACTACCATTCGGAAAACAATTTCGAATGGCAGCACAAAATGAGTGCAAATCATGTCCTGAACGTAGAATACAGCTTACGACGGATCACTGCAAACAGCATGCACGAAACTAGAACAAAGTCCATTTTGTACCAGCTCTGAGCCCCTTTCTACAGTCGAACAATGCGAATCCTCGAGCAGAGAGCTCACCCGTTGCCCCCCGATTTCCTGCGCCTCTACAATGTCAGCGTAACCAAGCTCGTCAGCCTCGGGCTTGCCCACTTGCACCTGCGCACGAAAAGCCCAGCGCAAATAAGCTTCAAGTGACAGGACAGCCCAAGCGAGCTCAGCCAATCAGCCGGGCCTTGCGAGCAGTGACGTGGACTAGCATCGCCGATTTGACCCCGCCTTGGTGAGCACCCCTTTCGTCAATGGTGGAACGAGTCACGAGGGTACCTTCCGGCCTTTCATAGAAGGGATTCCAGCCAAGGGGCGCCAGGACTTGACTTGACAACGGAGGTTTACGTTCTCCGTCCTTTGGCTCTGGCAATGAGAAGGAAGAGAGACCAAGACACAGGACTTGCAAGAGCTCCAGCAAAAGAGAGCGGACTCAACGCATCACTCGGCAACCTTTGCAACTGCGACTTCAATCATACGTTTGTCGGTATCAATCTGTTTGCTTTGGCAAGCAATCAAGGAAGATGCTCTCACCAATGACGTCGAGTTTGTGGCTCTGCAGAATCTACGCAGCTCGAACTTGGATAGGATCTTCAGGACCATAAGCCTGCAGGGGGAAAAGACAGATTCAAAACTACATACTCACTGCACTGACAACTTCAAAAGCATCCGCGGCCTACACCTGCTTTTGTTTGTACGGGCAGTCTATGCCCCATCCTCTTCGCCCCACTCGCGTTTGGAGGGTTTGTGCACCCTTCTTGACAATTTAGGGCAAACCAAATCCTACTTAAAACAGCAGTCGGAACATTTTGTCGCAAACGAATCAGACTCTCCGAAACGGTCCGCACAACGAGTGTAAGACAATGCAGGGCGCCTGTTGGAAACGAACGGAGCCCTGTGGTCTGCCACACTACAGCTCAGGTAACAAATTCCTGGCCTGCTCACTTGAAACGCTCGCTAAGGCGCATGGAGTATTCGTGAAACTATCTCAATCGTCACAGCAGAATTTTTTGCTTGAAACCGAACGCAAAAGGAGTCAGATAAATCAACGCCAAAAGTCCTTGGCGCAATCGCACTTCTACTGCTCGCAGAAGTGCACGGCATCTGCAACGCAGTATTTTGGACCGCGTAAGCAACTGTAGTTCCTCAAATTGCTTGCCCGAGGAGCCACTCGAGCCACCTGACGAACGATACTTGGGCCGGCTCACTTGTACCGCTCGCAGAAGTGCATTGCGACCTCCCCCACCGCCTGCCCGCTGACGACCACCTTGGCGCCCGAGTCCGCAATCGCCTTGATCAGCGCCTCCATCTTGTCCTCTTCGCTTTTGGTGTACCCCTCTAGCTGCGCCGCGCTCTCAATGAGCACCGTGCCCTTCGTCTCGGTTGCAGAGGTATCCAAACCGCCGCCAAAGACGGCGATCTGCGAGGAAGCGGTGACAGGTGAGCGTCTCAATACCTGGTAAGGCTGGTATGCATACCCACTGTAGATGTAACTCAGGGCTGCGAAAGTTGGAGGGTGCCTTGCTAAGAGTCTTTGATTGGATTCATGCCCTCCGTCTCCGTCGCGGTTATGTCCAAGCAGCCGCCAAACAGAGGAAAGCTGCTCAAGTACTGGCTCCTTCCCGCGTCCCACTACTTAAGTGTTGATCAAAAGTCCACCCGAATTCTCTACTGCGCAGCACAAGAAAAAGAATGTGGGAGGGACGAAGAACGGTCACCTTAGCCTTCTCTGCCCTTTTGATGGTTCCTTCTGCGTCCCGCTTGATCACCATCCCCTGCACCACGTTGCTGTCGTAGATGGAACCTCCCACGATCTTGGCCACCCGCACGTTGTCCACGTTGAAGTTGGCCGGGTTCTTGGGGGCCACTTGTATACAGGCCTGGGGAGAATAAGGTGGAAGTTGGGAGCTTGCTTAAGTAGTCAGCGCCTGTGGAGTGATTTCACAATGATCGGACCTGGAGACAGTGAGGGCTCACTCAAGTCTCCTCTCACTTTCTTGTACGGTCACTATGAAAGGACCAGGATGGGATCAGGAAGACGACAAATGCCTTGGGGAGAAGAAGCGCTTGTGTGAACAGCCTCTGCATTCTGAGGAGTATGTGCTTGCATCGACTCACTATGCTCCGCCGGGGTGCAAGGCTCCTCTGAAAGCTTCTATGAAACCTGCCAGCTCTCACTGTATCATCAACCAGATCCCAATCTGCTACTAAAGGCAAGCGACATCAGCATCAGATTGTTCTAAGCTCAAGGGGTTGCACATAGGCCGGAGGGGAAATTTGTCCTATGTCTCGGCAGCCAGATTTGCCATACACACAGCAACAACAAGAAGAGGCAAGGTAGCCTCACCTCGGCTATCAGGGGGCAGAGAATATCCTCCTGGCCATACTGCTTGCTTGCCACTGCCGCAGTCATCCGCTTTGCCACATCATCCTTGTTCCGAACGTCAATCTTGTCCGAGCCTGGCTCCACTAGAGCCTCCAGGTATTCCAGCACCTGCAGAAGCAGACGAGCACCAGGCATGAGTGCTGCAATGGGCCGTTGATGTAGCAAAAGCCTCAATTAGAGCTCGACATTTTCCTCTTGCTTTTGAGAGACAGCGGACAGCTAGAGGTGGTACCACTGCAGGGCACAAGCGGCGCCTTGATGGGACATCAGATGACAGAGACACACAGATTTGATGCATTTCTGCGCGAACGGAACAAGAATCTCATCGCCTGATTGGAATGAGACTTTCGCATTGGCGAACACAGCGGTGGCCTCACTTTTTGGCATGCCTTGTTGTACCCAGCCAGGATTTCACTAGGGTGCAGGCCGCTTCTTATCAGGTCCTCTGCTCCTTGGAGCAGCTCTCCTGCTAATGTGACCACCAGGTTTGTGCCATCCCCGATTTCCTCTTGCTGCGCTTTGCCAGCTAAAACCAGCAGCTTGGCTGCGGGGTGTGCCACCTCTAGTTCGTTCACAATCGTGGCGGCGTCGCTAGTGACAAAGAGCTTGTCTAGATGGTTGATCACCATCTTGTTCATGCCTGCAGAGAGTTGGACGTCTTAAGCTTCAGGGACCACCTGATTCCAAACTTTACAGGCACAGAATGAATGGCCACTCGTCTAACAGTGCATCATCTGATTGCAATACAAACAGTCTTTTGAACAGCACATAACCTGTTTGAACTTACGCCAGACCAGGCTGACTTTTTGGTGGGGGTTGAATTTTGATGCAATTGGTTGATGCAAGACGGTGTGGTTCAAAGCACTTGATGGCTCAAAAAGTACCTACTGGAAGAATTTTGGAACTAGCAGCGTAGAGCGCAAGATCTTACACCACCTTTACCAAGTAATGAATTGAAACTTTCACGTTATCTAACGTCCATTCTTGGAGACAGGATTTTGCTAAGCTGTGCTGGTCAGAACCCTGTGGCGGCTTCCATTGTATGAATATCTTGAGAGCACATACACCTCCGTAAAGAGTATAACGATGCCGTAAAGAGTATAACGATGCCGTTAAGCAGCCTTCATTTTGAGCAAAGCAACCTTCATTCTGAAACTAGAAAGTGCATTCTGCAAGGGTGCTAGCACCACATGGATTGTCTGCTAAAGCAACATGTGAACGCACAAGGTCCGTCCAATCTGCCTAAAGCGAAAAACATGAGAAACTTATCGACCACCTAAAACAGCACAACTTTTCATCACTGAACCTAACGAAGACCACCTGCATTCACTTCTTACAAATCAATGCATGAAGTAAATCCAAATTCAATCTGCACCCATCTGCTTCCAGAGCTAACTTATCAGGGTGGTTGCGGAAGAAACCGCACCATTTGGCCCCAGCGATGACCTTGTAATCTTTGACAGCTGCTTGCACGCCTCGATGTTCTTGAGCACGGCCTCATCCAAACCAGACAGCAGCTTGTGCCCATCCTTAAGCATCCCCTGCACTCCATAGCCGCCAAAAGCCATGATTGCTTCCTAAACCTGCGCCCCAGCTGCAAGCAAAGAGCAAAGCGATCCAAGGGGATCTCCAGCAACTGCTTTGGCTTTGGCTTCAGCTTCAGCTCCAATTCCGCTGGTGGAAGGACTTTTTGCACCTGAGCGCTTTTCCAACTGTTTTCTCCGAATTTGAAGGCTCGTAATCATGGAACCCCAGGCCAGAAACTGAGAACCATGTTCCACACCGTCGGATAGCGCTGTGCTTCTTAAGAATGGCTACGATGTAAGCCGCTTTAATAGGGGCCCCGGTCACTGCTAGCCGGTAGAGGTCAGTACAGGGTTAGACCAGGTTTGCTTCGTGCCTAGAGTCCCGAGTCACAGTCTCGCGTACCGGTAGTCACAACGTGAGCTCCCTCACGACGGTACGGTACCTGGTGTAGGTAACCGAAGTTGACCGAAGTCTCTAGCTGAAATTTGAATCCTTCAATGAGCAACTTACCATGTGACACGAAGAGTTTTCATCGCGGCCGTCAAACTGTCATCGGACGGGTTCAGAATAGCACAAAGAAATGCAACCGGGCCCGGCCCGGCCTGGCCCGGGAAACCCGCACCGTAGATTGATCATCGGAAGGAGGGGGCTTGCCGCAGGGGGACCAAACACTACCGAAACGCCCCGAACCATGATCGACACCGTTAGATGAGAAAATATCCAGCTTGGACGGTTAAGATTGCATTTTGGGGATGTCCCGAGGCCGATGCGGTCCTCGGTTGGTCTGAGGGGAGGGTTAAGCGAGTGTTGGAAGCAGGTTATCAGCTTCTTGGCTGTAAAACCTACGTAAACCGGCCCTGTACTCCTCCTTCAAACGGCGCTTTGCGGCCTTGCCCCCCCTTTGCCCGAACACCAAACTTTGGGGTTTCGAAGGTGACCCTACCTAGTATGGGAGGGTCAATCCCACCAGGTTTCTGTCCCGGGCAATTAGCCGTTTGGCTGCTGGAACATGGTTCAGGTTGCCAACCTATTCACCTGGGGCGTTCAAGTTTGGTCCACCTGGCTTGCCGCTTGCTAGCTGTCTCCAATTACGTAGGTACTGCGCAGAGGACGCCAGCTGGCACGCGAAACACCTCAGCTTCTTCCGCCTTCATAGGGTATGGTGTTTTGTCCTGCGAAGGAAAAGTTAT